TTTTGCTGTCAAACACCATGATTTGCTCCGATATTACCGCGTACTACGTATTCCGAGGACTCTCTTTTCCCTCGAGTTCTCAAGTCTTTCAGTCGAGGCTTGCAGTGACTGGATACTTTTACCTTCCATCTTCCATTCTCGCAAGAAAAACACTTATTTCTTCTGCACTTGGGACACACCCCTGGCTATAATTCCTAGAGCCGTTGGTTTGGGTCAACTTACCAGAAGCTGCATCAATGCACATGGCTGACTAGGTTCGAGAAGCCGGTCAGTAGTAAGAGCCACGTTCAATTGCTGCATATATCTGCTGGGCAGGGAACTGATCACGTTATGACTACCCTGCCCTTGCAATAACTTAGCCCTAATATGCAAATGCTAATTGCAGCCATCGCCAGCACTTAACAACGTCAGAGTGTCTACCGTCAATTGAAAACAAACCAGTCTACATCAACGGCACTTGGTGGAGGTATGTCAAACTTTGAGTGACAAAAGATTTCTCATCCCAGAAGGGTAATCTATAATGCTTCAGACTTCCACCAGTGGCTATTCATCCGATGCAGCCCGTGGGCATTTGAAACCTCAGTACACGCTCACTACGCTGCATGTAAAGCCATGTTCGCTGGTGTAGATGACTTTGTCGACAACTATTTGTCGAAACGATCAAACATCACGCTACCCCATACTGTCTGAGCTGATATATCAATGTCCGGCGATATTGCGTCAGCATAGTTTGAGAGCGTTATCGTCCTCACTTTGACCGAGCTTCGATTGAGAGAGATCTGCACCTGAGAATAATTTGTTAAACGTCACAATGTTTGAAGAGACATTGACAGCCCAAGATCCAAATAAACCATCTAGAATGTTTGTATACATGGAGAAGTGTCGTTGTTTCTAAGTTCGGCATCTACGGGTCCTGCTCAAGTTAAAGTTTAGATCTGATCGCTATATTGAACTATACTACCAATCATGACAAAGCTAATAAGCTTGCTTTGATTATGTAGATATGTCGGTGTCCGCCATGACACTGCGTCATCAATATTATTTGGAATCTATTCTCACAAAGGATATATATATTTTCTCCTTGTGGACTTCTGAACTCCACAATCTGCAGCTGTCTTGAGCTAACAAACTACTACGGGAAGTATACTTGTCCAACCCAATCTATAACTTAAAATCTAAACTGAAAAAAATAGAGCTTTATGAACCTTACTACTTTAACCAGATATCTACCTCACTTCGCATATATTGTCCCTGACTCTCGGCGTTCTGCTCGAGTGGTGTGCTCTCAATTACTCCACAGGCAAAACCTATACCATCTTCAAGGGCTCTTGGACTACAATCATTCCGAACAATATATATATGAGCTTGGCCATTATGTGCAACATTAACGGAGCATCATGAGCTGCCAGAAATCTCCGCTCTAACACCACCAACTGCGATATTATTAGCTTAGTGAGACTGTTGTACTATGAACGATGGTCTGAACTCCTTTATTTTGCTCTCGACTATAACATAGTGTCCTAAGTAGCCATGTTTATTATATTTGCTTATTTTATATTTAAGGAAATGAGAAGCTGAATACAGTGCCGGTTCCAAATGGAGGCTCCATTACATATCGTGTCTATACTATATCAAGCACGGCGACACTGTGCTGGTGCCCGCACTTTATGACCATGCTCTAATATTCTCTCTATTCTAATAGCTCTACACATCCCCGTTCTGTGATACAGGATAATAAGAAGAATCCATTTTTTCTTCGGATGTATAGCTTCTGTGGAATTCCTAGTCCCTTGAGGAGCCCTTGCCCATTCGTCTTTCATGAGATTGCCTTTTCCGTTTGCCTGCTATACAGGTAGGGTAGATTGTGTTCGGTGTTCAGAAAGTACTATACATGTTCTTCTTTTGCAGCTTTATATACATTATCTATAGCCCTATCGACAGGCCTTCAAGGGGAGTTTACAGCTTCTTGCCCTAGATAATATGCCATACCAATGCTAGAACCAGCACAATGGCCAGGGACTCTGTAAATCACAAACACAGTCATGCCATGCAATCTCAAGTGCTCGATTTCTACACCGCTTGTAGCATAACATGGATTATATAATGAATTCGCTTGTTAAATAGGTTTCCTAATACTTGTGGTGCGGCTGTGATATAAGATCATCACTACATGTTAAGAGCATGTGGTCTTATATACTGGCTTAGAGAGCCCCGTGATTTGGTCAATTATTAGGAGAACGTGCAGTCTAGCAATAAAATCCTAGCGTTCTATCTCAGACATAGATGAGGTGGTGGTGTGTATGCCTTACTTTTAATGTCATGAGCACTACTATTGTACCTACAGGCGGCGTTCAGATTGTTCTATGATAAAGTAGAAGACTGTGTGTAAGTTTATGCAGTATCCCATGGGTAATATTATGCCGGTTTTTGCAAAGTTCTTTTCTACTAAAGAAACTGCCTATAATAAGAAGATAATCCACTAATAGGCACCTATAGATGTCCATAGGCTAGTCCATGATGTCCTGGTTACGAAGTATAAACAGAATCAGTGATAGCAAGAACCCCTAAACCAACCATATTTTCTATACAAGTCTGATTATTATTTTTAAATTATTGAATTGGATACTAGCTTGCTGAATCTCTATGAAGTTACCTATTCAATATCAGACGACAGTTGATGCTTCCTCTTCACTGTGAGACAGGGTTAGGGCTCCAGGCTCTCGCTATTAACATCACTGAAGACCTTCTAAGAGTCAATGCTACCTGATCAATATAATCACTATAAAGTTTAGCCACTTGCAGCTGATTGTTTTTGCCAATACTAGTAATGTCTACTTCATGTTTCGCCCTGTCATGCCCAGAACTATATGTCTTGGAGCGGATTGCATTCCTCAGCAACGAAGCATGATATTTCCGCCAGACTTGTGTAAATCGAAAGTTTTGGAGTTGCTACTTATGAGGTCTTTCTCAAGAAGCCTGTATCTCTCCCCTTTTCGCGCCATGGCAGAGCTTCTAGCCCTTGAGAGAACCACGACGGATGGCTGGTTTACTCGATGCTAAAAGCCTCAGTCTGTGCTGGACGTTTGTTAGCCTGATGCTCCATGTATATAATCTCTCGTACTCGCCACATGGACGCGTATGTTCATTCTCCAAAGGGGCTGGGTTCTTTGCCGCTCATGACTTATCAATTTATATGGGAAGAATCTCGCCCTTAGTTCCTAACCACATGGTATTTGATCATGGAGTTACCTAGAAGAACATCCTTATCGTTATCTGTCAATAAGACTGCGCTTGCTTCATCATGTCGATTGTGGGCGCATAATCCACTAGAAGTGTGTAAATACTTGGTCGTCTCGGGGGTATCTTTTTTCTAGTCCTAGCAAAACGTTAGGTAATGATTCATGAATATTCCAAAATATGTGAAGTCAGCAAATATTACTTCCTTTAAAAACAAAGCATGTATATTCCTCAGTAGTACATGGATATGCATTGTCATCTAACGATTTTGTTGATTCTGTTTCTTGCCGCAAGTGTTTATATATTCTTTCTCTATCAGACATATTTACTTCCAGGGATATGAACCAGAAAATTAGTAGAATCTGGCCAGTCTAATCCATCAACCGCGAGGGTTTTTCAGAACATCGCATAAATTTACCTAGTTTGCATGGAGCTTTGTTATCTAATATTACTGCAGAGGTGTACGGTGTATATAGATCAGAACAGAATTAGACAAGGACCATAAAGCACAAGCTTTCAAGCTCGAATAAAACAGACAAAATCTGCCCACATTTTATTTTAATAATAAACAATCAAGGCCAACTCAAACAAGAGAACGGATATATCCAAACTTATTTTCCCTCGCTTGCGGGGATGCCTATATCTCTCCTTCCTACAGCCAGAATAATCCCACTTCCAGATTAACCTTTACACAACCCTGGGCTATTTAGTGCCGGCGTTTTGACCTTGTAGATCTTACTAGCTGATGGTAAGAAGGTAATCTACGATTGACCTATACAATTTTACCGTCTTCTTTGGCATGGGTTGTAGTGTGGAGATTTAGAGATAGCTGGAAAGTGGATTTGTGTTTACTTTTCTACGTATATTATGATTTGCATACCTAGTCTGTGCGCGTTGCGTTTATCACTTGTCTAATTTCCTGGAACTGTGTCTCTATTGATTCTAGAATAGCACATCCAAATCGGACATATAGTTTTAATGTCAGATCTTTGCTGTCTGACAGCCTGTATTCATCATAATCAATATCTGGGGTGTTTATCAATCCATGTTAGCCTACACTGTGTGGAAGAGCTACCCAGTTCAGTTACTACTGTATAAGCAACATCCCAAACTATAACTGCTCACAAGCCTGGAGACTAATCCAGGATGCTGGCCAGACCATGGAAAGTAAAGTTAAAGAGAGCAAGGGCACTGATAAGGAAGTTAATAACGCTTTGATTTAAAGATGAACCTTGAAGGGCTGGGGCTGGGACGCGGTGCACGGACATGCGCTGAGCTTCTAAAATCTTGTTGTTGGAACATTTGTTATATTATTTCACCCGTGTCGTCTTTGTCCAGTTCAAATATGGAAAGTGGAGGTGGTGGGAATTGTGATATTAAGTGCTATATATTTTAATCAACCTTAGGTTTCCAAGGGTTGCTTAGCCCACCACCCGTCCGTCATGCACTCATTCAAACTACTTTTACTTATTCAATGGTGACTACCATGTTGATCATGGGATATTTGATGGGATATAATCATTTGGTAATATTGAAAAAATCTACTCATTCCTACAGGACTACTACTACCAGATACCCATCCCCAAGCCCAGTCACCAGACGACAGGCTTGGACCAGCCCTTGCATTCGTCGCCAGCCCGCGCGTGGATCCGGGGTTCAGCCCACTTTGGCCCTCGTATATTAAGTTATGGGCAGAAGTTTGGCAGAAACTAACTTACTGACCGAGTGGTTATTCATTGACTCGATGCGGGGAAGCTTGAAACGGACGCCATTGGCGGGTAGGCCTGCAATTTATACAGCCCGGATGGGGTGAGCCTGACGTCCGCCACAAACGAGTGGACGCCTGAAGAGGTAGATAGGTACTATGGTACGGTTGGATGGTCAGGTCGATGCCTAGGTGGGTTAGTTAGGCACCCAGAAGTCGATTGAGATAGATGGTTGGAAACGGTGGTGAGGGTGTTGATTGGCAGGTGGTCGTTGGATGCTGGATGCTCGGCCAATGGAGGGGGAGCGGAGTAGTGGTGATACACACATGACGCAAGGCGGGAATGTTCCAGGGTGAGACAGGTTGGCTAGTATGGTTCTGTGTTATTGATGGGTGAGGGATGATGTACGGGAGTAGTGATAATGGAGGGTACAGTGTCTATGGTCTCGTGTACTGAGGACGAGGGACTTATTGCTGTGCTACGACGGAGTGGGCACGCTCAATTCGCATATGGATTATGGATCCAAAGTCGAAAAATTGCTCGGTCAGAATTCCACACCGTTTCCAGGGATCTCGGAGAGAGTTCTTGGTATGCAGGTGGAGTGGCGAAACGGGGAACCTGAGCCCACAGGACCTATCATGTTCTGGCATGAATTTGTACCCACTTCCTTGCTCGACATGTCCACTCAGGAAGCCTTAGGAAACCTACGAGGCATGACAAAATAGTAATCATGATGATTGTTAATTACCGGCGCTGTCGCTCCGTACAACTCCGTACTCGAACCCAGAGGAGTTCCTGGGAGAAATGGCAAAGCCCGAGAAATCCAGGTCCAGCTGACAGTTGCTTCCCAGTTCCCACCTTCCGAGCGCTCGCCGACCGGGTATTTCGGCGAGCCTCGTGTCCTCTCTTTTCTGACTTCTTTGTGTGTTTTCATGATGATACAGTAGTCTTGTCGATCTGGCGTCGATTGTCGATGGTAGCTTGACCTCGTATTCCGTACTGGACAGATTTCAGTCAGGAACAGGTGGAAAGTAATCCATTCTCGCTGCGTCCAGAACGGCGTCCAGGAAGACGGGCCAATCACAACCTGTTCTGCTAACGAGAAGAACCTCTTTGTTGGTATTTGAGACGGAAGAGGATAAGAGGCTGCGGACTGGATGAGATGGACGGTCGCACGTGACAGCTGATGATTCTCGCTTGGGACACCTTAAGAGGAAAGGTGCATGGACCGTGCAGTCACCGCTGATGAACGCAATCAAGGTGCCGGTTTGGCCGGCTGGCCGGTTTGAGGCCGATAGGATGCTTTGTATGTATATCAGTCTGGTCTTAAAAGGTCATGGCGGCGAGACCGTTTGACTAGGGTCTTTTGAGGAGATCGAGACGGGAACATGATTGGAACCGGTTGAGTCGATCCTGGATGGGACAGCTGAACATACGATATGGGATGATAAGCCATGCCTCCCCTAGCCTACCTTTAGCTAGCATCTTGGGATGGGCTTCCGACTGGACCAACTGGCGGGCCTAGACGCTGGGCTGACTCGACCGTACCCGCACAGGCCGGTGGGATGGGACGGATCGAATCATCGTGGAAGAGTTCATGAGAAGGAAAGGTCCGAAGTATCTTTGAGGGGGGCTTGGACTTGGACTTGAACTTGGACTTGAACTTAGACCTGGTTCTGGATTAAAGGGAGAGTGTCTTGTCTTGCATGTTATTTTGCCCCTATACGGATCCATCCATACACAAGCCTGAGGCTGTTCCCACAACGCTGACTTGGATGCCTGAATGGACCTGAATTCGGCAGCAAAACCCTTCATACCGATGGGAATCAAATAGATCAAATAAATCAGATCAACGTAGATTATTCCAGTACGGAGTCATTCAATTCGATTCCATCTCCGTTGCTTCAACTCCAATCAATACCAACTCCGTATGGAGTAAGTTGAAAGAACAAAAGCAAAGGTCCATCAAGACGGCGACTCGAAACCCACAGTTGACCAACTCTCTCCATCCGCCAATTTTCCCCTTCCAGTCTTTCTCTCATCGTCTTCTTTCCTTCTGGTTCATCTTTTTCTCCTCTCGTTCAGATTCCCATTTGGAACTTTTATCTTCTTCTTTTCTTTCCTTTCTTTTTTGATGATTTCCTGTCCCCTCCTCCATATCATCATCCACTCTCAGCCTTACTCCCCTCCGATACCCATTTTGTATTTTTCTTCTTTTTTCTTTTTTTTTTTTTCTTCTCTTTTTCTTTCCTGTTCTTTTTCCCTGGTAAATTCATCTTCTCACCCATTCCGGTCCCTTGTCCACTCCCCTGCACGCCCCCCATTCCCATTCCTCAACTCTCTTTCTCCGCCATCCCATCCCTGTCGAGAACGGCGATCGCAGCAGCCCGCTGAGTTTGCTTGCTTGCTCTTCCCTCTCCCCCTCCCCTCCTCCCTCTCAATCCTTCCTTTCCCGACCTTTTCTCTCCCTCTCGTTCCAAACCTTCACAACCCAATCCCGATTCTCTCCGCCCAACATTGATCTTACTCCTCCCTCGTCCTCTCTCCCTCTCCTCCCCTCCTCCTCCCCTCTCTGATTCCCTTCGTTTCTCTCCCCCTCGACTTGCTCCAGGGGCCAGAGATTCGATCCCCCCCCTCCCGTCGACCCACCTGCGTCATGCACAAGATCTCCAACTTCACGGGCCAAGCCCGTCATGGTTGGGAACGGATGACTCCGACTTTTGGCATGTCTCGCCCTCATGCGGACATGACTTCGCACTCCCTCCGTCGACCGCATGGTGCACCGCCGATGACTCCCCCGACCGGCATCGATCCGACCGTCAACCTCTCCTTCAACGTTCCCTTCTCCTCCACCCTTAGTGGGCCCGACGCCGACGACGTGCTCCATGCGACTCCGGGTGCCCTCCACCGCTGGTCCTTCCCCGAGGGTACCCCCGAAGGCACCCCCGTTCACAGCCTGCCCGTCCACACCAGCAACGTCGAGACCCTGCGGAGACTCTGCCGTCAGATCACCGAGGGTAGCAATGGAAGGATCGAGGCCTCCGTCAGTTCGTCGGAGCCCAAGACGGTCCCCTCCTTACAACGTCGCCCCCAGGGCTTGGTGACGAACGTTTGTATCACGGGCGATGGCGAGACGGTGCGCAAGATGCGGGCCAAGATCTTAAATGAGACCCCGATTCTTCTGGTACGTGTTTGGGATCGCAATATTTGAAGGTTCTTTGTGTGGGCTAACGGCTCGGGTTGGTTTTTTTTAGCGATGTGCCACCGTGGACGTGGACATGCACCTCTTCATGGACGGATCGGCCCAGGGAGTTCGGGATAATGTGTTGGGGCATCTGAACAAGTTGGCCGAGTACACCGGTACGGACATCTTCCTGCTGAGCCCGAAACTCCGAGACACGGACAGTGCGGTGGTGTCATCCTATGGGTATGCTTCGGACAACGGTCTGGATCATCGCTTTCGCGTGTCCATTTATGGCGACATGGAGAGTGCGGAACATGCCAAGGCTCGGGTCTTGATCTTGATCGATCAGATCGTAAGTACTGCCTTTTGTGAATGATGATGGTGGATGCTAATAGGATGCAGCTCAAACGTGAGGTGGACGCGATGAAGTTGGAGTTGACCATGCACACTCTGGTGTGTGGCCGCACCCGCAAGAACATCAAGCTCATCGAGGCCGCCACTGGGACCGCCATTTACTTCCCCCCACCCTTCCCGCGCATTTTCGGTTACACTCCTCCGGGCGCCCACCGTCGCAGCGAGGACGAAGTCTACATCACCGGGGAGACCAAGGATCAGATCGCTCGCGCCAAGCAGAAGCTGCGGGAGTTGGTGCTGGGAGTCAAGATCTACGTCAAGGATGTCATTGTGAACTCGAACAAGATCGACAATGTGCTGCTGGATCGCTTGGATAAAGTGCGGAAGGTCATGGAGATGAACGGTTCTTACGTTCTGTTCCCCCAGTTGGGCAGCCAACGCGGCCTGGTCCGCGTCCAGGGCTCGGAGGTCTTGCATGTGGAGCGTACAGTTCGGGAGATCATGGCTTTGGTACGTACCTGTTCCAACACCAGCAAACGGTTGATAGTCGACTAATACTTCTCTTTTCGATCCGCAGGCTGGCCAGTTTTATAGCGCGTCGTGGTGGATCGTCATGCCCGACCCCTCGCAAGGCGGTTTCCGCGCCCCCTCCGCTCCCGATGTCCGCACCATGCTGTCCGACATCTGCAGCAACTCCGGCGCCGAAGTCAGCTTCGACAACCTGACCTTCACCATCAACGGTTCGGACGATGCCGTCAAGGCCGCGATGATGGTCATCAACCAAATTCCCTTCGTCCACCGAAGTCAGTACCAGATGCGGGTGAAGATCGAGTTGGCCAATGAGCACAAGGAATTCGTCAGTGGGAAGAAGAACGGCAAGATCAACAAGATCATGGGTCAAAGTAAGTTTCTTTCTTTCCCCTCTCCATCCAAAAACATGTAGATTGACGGCCTCAGGCAACGTGCAAATCATCTTCGACGGCTTCAACGAGTACAACTTCTACATCGACGTTTGCGGGAACCAATACGAGTCGACGAAGAATGGTCTGGATCTCGTCGAACAGGAGATGCCAGCTTCGATCTCATTCCATGTGCCGGATCAGTACCACAAACGGATCATCGGGATCGGCGGTCAGCACATCCAGCGCATCATGAAGAAATACTCGGTCTTTGTGAAATTCTCCAACGCCATGGATCGTGGCGGTATGGGCAAAGAGGATGACGATATCAAGGTCGACAATGTCATCTGCCGGACCCCGGCGCGTAATGCGCAGAGTCTGGACCTGGTCAAGCAGGAGATCATGGACATGGTGGAGAAGGTCGATGCTGAGTACGTCTCCGAACGGGTCCTGATCAATCGACTGTACCACCGGGAGTTGCTGGCGCGCATGACCGAGATCGATGAGCTCGAGAAGAAGTGGAACTGCAAGATCGAGTTCCCGAGCACAGAGCTGGCCAGCGACGTCGTAACCATCTCGGGTCCCGAATACCAGGTGCCCCAGGCGGTTGATGCCTTGCTGGGCATGGTCCCCGAGAGTCACGAACTCCTCTTCCAGAGCTCCCCCGAACTACGCGAGTTCTTCCAGTCCGCCGACTTCCGCGACGACGTCTGTGGCAAGCTGAAGGACCAGTACGAGGTCGAGACCTCTGTCAACGTAAGTTCGGACACCGCTTCGCCCGTGTCGGACGGCGGGTCGCCGCCCTTCCCCCCGGAGGACCGCGTGCTCCTTGGATATACGCGCAACAACGCCGGTGGACTCAAGGACGCCATCGACTTCTTGATTTCTCGGCTGGTTGCCCACGGATTGGATGCCACTACCGTCAAGGGCGCCATCCCGCGCCCCAAGTCGGACTCGTTCGAGGAGTCCCTCCCCTTCTTTGATTCCAAGTTGCTGCAGCACGCGCCCGTTCCCCTTGTGACGGATTCCCCCACCCGACCCAACTTCTCCGATGAGACCAGTGAGCGTGGCTCGATCTTTGAGAGACTGCGGAAGCCTGGTAGCATTTCGTCGTTCTCCTCGTTCATTGGCCGCAAGAACCACTCGGCCTCCCCCGGTTCGTTCTTCAAACATGCCTCGAGCAATGCCTCCAAGGCATCCCTTGTTTCCATGGAGTCGCGTGACAGCGGATATCGCAACCCGTGGAATGATTCCGGCGTGAATCTTCCCGAGGACGACATCCCGGTTATTGGCAGCTCCCATAGCCACAGCAGCAGCAATGGCTGGCCCGCGCGCTTTGACACGAAATTTCCATTCGGTACCGCGCCGGGGGACATGACCCCTAAGCATGACCCTCGCGCGTCTTTTGACAGTGGTCGTCCTAGCACTTCCAATTCTACTTCTGGATACCCGGCCCCTATCGGGCCACCGCGTTAAAGACAATGTCAGTTTGCAGCAGTATACCCCAAGAAATTTTGTCTTTTTTTATTTTCTTTTTATTTTCAGTCAGCGATTGATTTGTTTCGGCTCTTATCCTGTTTTATCCATTGTTTTGATACCACAGTAAGCATCCAAGATACCAGAAAAATTTGTTCTCAGCCGGAGGAACAAACAGACAGAGATGGAGTCCCCAATTTGAGTCGCGTCTCGGTTTGATTTATACCCTTCAGTTGTCTGGATTTGAATTCACATTCTTCTTGCCACGTTTTATTCTCGCTCGCGTGTTTGATTTGATTTGATTTGATTTGATTTTCGATTTTCACCTTTTTTTGTCTCTCAGACTATGGCATAGGAGAAGCTGGAAAAGGAAAGGACAGGGAAAGACAACAACATTCAAGTATGATACCAAGTGAGATGGAAGGTGTACGAAGGTGTTTTTTCGTCTTTTGTTTCTCTCTTTTTGACTCATTTGCTGTTTTTGTCATTACATCCTGATTCTACCCCCGTTAACTATCTTTTTGCATGTGCATGTGCATGGTGATGGATGGGTACAGATGGATTTTGTGGTTTTTCTTTCTGTTTGCTGCTTGCTGTTTTTGTTTTGGATTTCATTTTTTCCATTTTTCCTGCTTTTTCTTTTTTTTTTTACTATATACCTTGACGTACACGATATCCCCCTGACTTCAGTAGAGAATTCTGAATGAAGACCGAGTGATTGATTTGATTTGATTCCTGGACGTGATGTAGACTGTTTATGTGCATTTGTAGTATATTCTATACTTTATAGACCGATTATCTTTGTTGGCATTGTCAAGTAGCATGGATTGGGTTATCTGGCAGGGACTGTTGACAAGGACATGGATCATTGTGGCAGAGTATGTAGATTTAGTATATAAAGTCAGTCTAATTCGAGTCTAAACTGGGTATAAACCGGGTATAAACTGAGTAACTATGTAAATCATAAGTGAGTCATATCGAATGCGTGGTCCGCCTGTAGTTACCCATACCTATGATACACCTAACAAAACTAAGCTACCTACCTACCTACCTACCTACCTAGTACCCAGTATGTAGTATTTTTAATATTACAGAATACAGAGTAAGTGGGTAAGTACGTACGTAACAGCTAGACAGGATCGGTCTAGATGAAGGGTGGAAGTACTATACTATACTATAAGCAGATTGGTATTGATTGATGATGATATTAGGGGTAGATTGTGGACGGAGATGGACGAAAGTGAAGAAGAGGGGGGGGGGGGGAAAAAAAAAAAAAGGGGGAAAGGGGGGGGAAAAAAAAAGGGGGCGGGCCCGTGCACGTTTAAGAAAGATGCCAAAAAAAAAAAGAGAAAAAAATTATCCAACCAGGATGAAACCCATGTCAAACAAAGCAAGTAGAAGTAGAAGTAAATAAAGTAGACATTAAGCATAAACTACCCCAGTATTCAGGAAGTCGTCGGAATCCATGCTAAAACGCCACCCCAATCGGCGAATGCGAATGCGACTGATTCTCGTAATAACTACGACGAAGGTCATCGCTTTCGTAGATTGTCGGGTAGGGTTGGTAGGGGGCGTGGTCTTCGGATGGACGGGCTGTTTGGCGGGGAAACACGGTGGTGCTACTGGCTGGGGAGGGCGTGGTTTTGTTAGGCGCTGCGGCGCCTGTCATGTTGTTGGTGGTGGAGATGGAGGGGGAAGAAGCGGAGGAGGCGAGGGTTGAGCCGCTGAGGGTACGGGAGCGGAGACGGAAGGGGCTCTTGTCTGTTGTGAAGGATGGTTTCCAGGTTGTGGGGAAGGCGGGGAGGGAGGTTCGGCTGGTTGTTGATGATGTTGATGTTGGTGCTGTGTTGAAGAGCCATTGGGTGACGCGGCCGGTACGAGGGGGGGTTTGGTTAGCGGGGCTGTCGGAGGAGGAGCTTGTCGTTGGGGGTCTTTGGACGCTGCTGGATGATGGACGATCCTCGTCAGTCGGGGGCAGGGAGGGCCTGGCCTGCAGGTGGGCTTGTAGTGGAGTTTGGGGTTCTGGAATGGCGGATGGAGGAGGATCGCTTGGGAATGCGGGTCCGGGGATACCAGTTGAGTCCGGCCTGGTGGTGGTGATTGTGGTGGTTGGGAGGGGAGAGTAGAGGCTTGCAGTCATACCAGTAACTGTGGATGGGCGGGTCGAAAAGTGAGGGATGAGAGGGCTGGGTGCCGGGAGGGATCTCTCCAGGTGGTGTTCCAGCGTTGCGAGAGATGACCGTCGGGAGCCGGACCCGACGGGTTTGCGAGACAGGTGGACGGAAGACGACGCCCGGTGGTGGGACCTAGCCTGTGACAGGCGGCCAGTGTCTGCTGGTTTGAGGACTTTGGCGGGTCTGGACAGCGTTTGTCGTCGGTTTTCTTCTAGCTGGAAGTCCTCGAATTGGGGGAGCTCTGGGAGATGATAGCCTGGGGTGTTGAAGCTCAGCTCCAATGCTGGGGGATTTCCAGGGGTGGTAGTCGCGAGGAGAGGCACGCGGCGGAAGTCGGATGGGGCGCTGATCCTTATGGGAGCGGTCGACCTCTTCTTGAAGGATATAGTACTGGTCCTTTTCTTGAACGAGATGGTACTGGTCCGGTTGGATGCCCGCGATGCCCGGATGTCTTTCCCGTCCATCATCCAGGAAGGCAAGGATGTCACCCGGGGTGGTGGACCTGGGCTGGGCAGGTCGTCGTAGACGACGAGCTTCATGGGCGGGACGAGGTGAGGCTGTGTATGGCACACGCGCATCTCTCGTTCGGCACCTGAGACGCAGGTTAGTACAATTGTCCGAGTCCTCGACTCGTCTTTGTTCTAGAGATCGCAATGCATACCGTTTTGTCTCGCGCTCCTGTCATGGTGGAAGCTGTCGTCGTCCGCCCCTGTTGGGCAGAACAAGCAGGAGTGAATCCAGCCAGTGAATAAGGACCCTGCTTGTTCAATTGCCCGGTTCATCGCTGCCAACGGTTATAGCTGTTGGCCCATCACCCTCAGGGGTGGGCCGAGCACAGATATATCCCCAGGAAAAAGAATGCGAGAGACGATGAACAAGGGAGTCACAAAGAAAGAAAGGTCATATAGACAAACAAAGGCCAGCCGTCAGGTCCAAGCACCAGGCTGGCAGCAGAAGAACAAGATAGATGGAAGAAACAATCAATGAATGAATGAAGGATGGATGAAGCCCTTGTGAGAACCCCCGCGATAGAAAGGACCTCCTCTTTCTTTGACACTAAACTCCTTAAAGGGGCCTCTCGACTGTCAATCATCATCACATTGACCATGGCAAGGCTCCAGGTCGATTCAAATCATAGTATTGGGCCTTCTGCATGTCAGCCCCCCACTCTCCGGTCTTTGATAAGTCCAGGAAACGGGGATCAGCTCCTGCGCCGGAATTACTGGCCAGTGAAGGTGCTCTGATAGCGCCCCTCCCTGACAACGTGTCGAGCTGTTGATCCGTCCTTAATGAGGTGATCTGCGAATTCTCCTCCGGTTGGCTGTCGGGGGAGCAGAACACCACACTAACGAGGGACTAAGCGCCTAGAAGACAGCGGTCATTTGTCCAGCCGACGCAAGGCCCCCATCGGGATGGTGATAGTAACTCACACCTGCATTGGCTTGAGTGCTTGCCCGTCGACCCCCAAAGTACGTGTGGAGAGATGTCAATAACTATGTAGGCTATCCCCGAGATGGATGATTTCAGGCCTTCGTGTTGCATTGACCAAGTGTGATAGCTGCCCAGAGCTCCTCGTTTTATCCGGACGTACCGGACTACCGAGTACCTGGCGTTTCATACTATTTATAAATCTCCCTCGCCGGGGATTTTGAAGCTAATATGTTATGCTGCATCCCGAGATAACCACGCGTATTGAGTGAAGATTGGGGTTTGGCCCGGTCGCACATGGGTGCCGCCGGGGGTGCCAAAAGGCTTGGCTATGTGTGATGAGGCACGCATGGCTTCTACCGGCCCCAGACATTCTCCTCGTCTAAGACGCCTGAAGTCCATATCCGTCCTTGAGTATTTCCGTCGTGTGTGTTTCCATCTCCTGGAACAGCTAGATGTGTCGAACTGCGCGGGGCATCGGCATCCTGCTCGTCCCCCGACTCTGACATACCAGTGGCTCTCCTGGGATGGAACGATTAGTTTGGGCTCGAACGCGTCCGACAGAGACAGCGATTACTTACCGGAAGAGCTTCTGCTGGTCAGGTTCAGCTGGTGTGGAGCCAAACGCTCGCTCGGCATGGATACGTTCCTCAGCTTCGGCTTCTCGGTCCTCCACTACAATATCGACGAGTTGACTGCTATGCGAGCTTCGGGAGGCAGAAGAACCGGCTGAGCCCGGCCGTTCCTCTGCATCATCATCGCCATCGCCATCATGGTCGTCATCGTGCTTTTTCGGAGAGACGTGAGAGACGTGGGAACTCCCACTGCTGCGGCGGGAATCGGATCCTTTCGATGAACGACTTCTGAGGTGCTTGCGGGCCTTCTTGACCAATTCAGGCAGGTGGTCCCCCTGGTAGCTCGAAGAATCCGGCAGACGCTGGTCCCTCGGTATCTCGTGGGCGGTGATTACAGGGTACTAATCAAAGTCGCATTAGTTTGGATGGTACTATAATGGGGAGTGGGTCAACTTACATTCCAGTCGCCGAACTCAAGTTCCCTTGCCTGAGCGAAAAGTCTCTCATGCTCTTCGTCCAGACCGAAATCCTCCACATCACTAGGCGAATTGTATCGATCTGCAGCGCTGCCTCGTCGGTCGCCGTCGGAGGAACCGGACAATAATGGCGTTCGACTGTTGGCCTCTCCGGGCATGGGAATCCAATACTTCCCCTTCCCGCCACGCTCATATCGCATGCCATGCTGGATACGCCTTACGCGCGATCGAGACTCGGCGTGTGCTATAATGTGATCACCCGAGTCGAACAGCCGATACTCATAGTTCTCTCCGCGCAAGGTCATCTTCGTGTCTTCGACCAGGTCTCTGGCACCAAAGGCATCGCGCAGAGCGTATGCTACGGGCAACCGAGCCGCCGAGACGGAGGGGTCCGCATAGTCATGCCACGAAAACGCATGCCAGTGTGCGAGTGCGAAGATGGGCATCTCGAAACAGATCAGAGCATCTTGAATGGCAGCCGCTAAATTGTCGGGGGTGTATCCCGGAACGCCATTGGACAGTGCCCCAAGCCACTGGAGAATCGACAGGAAGAACCCCTGCCAATATGAGGCGAAAATGATAAGTTTGACGCCCAGAAACTTGGGCACGGGGCGGAATGGCACCAAGTCGCTGTGAAGGCAAACCCAAAAGTTCGCCAACGAATAGAGACTGACGGTGACGCTTATATTATACACAATCCCCGTCCAGAGATAGCCGGAGGATATTCCCAGGTAGCCTTCTTGGTAAGTACCGGTGGCCTTCATTATGATCGATACCAAGGCCAAGATCGGTTTCAGCCAGGCATACTGAAGGATCCCGCGCTTGACCGACAAGAAGGTTTGGGGATCGGAGATGTCGAGTTTGGGAAGGCAATAGTTTAGCGGCCAGGTGTGATCTACCGGAGGGCGACCATGGGTCAAGATGATGATGGATCTTTCGCCGCCAAGAAAGTTGATGAGGAGTTGGAAAAACGTGTAGATCGTAAAAGCCTAGCGGGGACAACGCTTGTCAGCCGTAACCGTGAGTCCCACGGGCGAGACTCATACCTCATAGATGTCACGGATGGGGTCCAGCACTTGAGAGGCAACTGATGAAACAATGCTGGCCCAAGACGCCGCCGCGTATATCGGAACCCTGCACACGATCAGCCCGACATCCAGTCGTCTGTTTCCTGAAAACAAACACTAACATCAAGAGGATGCGAACCACATAGCGTTGGTGTAAAGGCTTCCGGTAGTTCTTTCTATACGCTCAAGGTTATAAGCATGACAGATATGTGTCGCGCGAAGGGTCTGCATACGCTTGAAGCCAAATGGATCTGTTTATCGCGGACACCTGTTAGCACACTTGAAGATGCTTTTGACGAAGCAAAACCCGGGGACGTGCGATCTCACAGAATCGATATGAGAGAGGCAACCAGCGACGAGACACCAGTAACAATAACGACGACCCGCGCCAAACTCGAGCCAGTGCCCCCGGACGGATTAGAAGTGACCATTGTCAAACCGCACGCGCCCCTGTGTTATGTCTGCGGGTAAAGCATGCCGTAAATCAAGGCGACCCTTCAATAAAAAGTACGAAGCGAGAGGGCTCAGAAAAAGAATACGCGCAAAATATGATAAAGCTCGTCAAAATAGGCTAGAAAGTCCCCTAAACCAGAAAGAGACTATCGCATAGTCAAAGGATGAGGCCGTTGTGGAGCGAGATTGCGTAGGCAAGAGGAGCAACAGCCGCACTTGGTATCTCTGCCTGGAAGCGAACCTTAACAACCAGGCCGATAAACTGGGGAATTCGAACCTGAACCGCCAGGCCCCAACGCGGGTCATCCCGAATAGGTCTAGCGTCCCGATAGGTGACCGGCTGCCTTACTGCCTCGAGCTCCACATGCTCCTCCTGTGTTATCGCAGCTCGGGATTGACCTGTTCGTCTTCCATTGTGTCCCAACGCAACCTTCCCCTCGCAATTTAGATGCTGGATATGCTCTCCTTTTTTGGTCATTTTATTGCTGCCAATAGAGTAGGATGCTCTCTATTCTGAAAAGTCAAGTCGTTATTAATCTCCCCCGTTCTCGTCAAAAGGGGGGTTGACTATCTTGCGGGAGCCGCCATGTTGAAGATATCGCACGATGGCTAATACAAGCTTGACAACGCTGTCCTTGACTCCGGATCCAAGCTTCAATTGGTAAGGACATATGGTGGTCCCACTGCTGGTTGAGCTACTCACGGTTTTTGCGCTAGGTTCTTCCTCCTTGAACTTATCGTATCGTGCATCCTGTAAGTTCGGCGGCTTGTCGCATACTCCTCCTGATCGTCAGTGACTAATATGAAGTGAAGCGTGCTGTTCTTCCTTCTATACTTCAACCGCCTTTTCGCAACCGTCCTATCCTACGGAATCCGAGCCTATACCTGGCACTATTACCGCGCTTATGTCGATATACACGCTCTGCAAATATCCTTACTGGGAGGGAGGATCTTTTTCAAGGGCATCCGGTACCATGGGGTGAACGAGACAATCTTCATACATGGAGGGTTTATTACCTGGCGTTACTGGAGACATAGTGTCAGACGGACACACGTATCGGATTTCAAACCGAGCTCGGAAAAGGCAGACGATGGAGCGCAGTCCCCGGGGGATGACAATGATGGTTGCAAGGATGGTGATCGGGAGGAACAAGGGGGACAGAAACGAGCAGATACCCTCCCTTGTCGCATCACAGCAAAGTTCTATGGCTTTGAATGGTTCATCTACAATAGGACCCCCGCCTACGACAGTATCTTAGCGGGCTTCATGCCATCTGATCCCACCGCGACGTTTACCAAACCGGAGTACCCTGGGAGCAGTACTCTGGATCCCGGGCTCAAGGAGGGCTCGGACCACGCACCGTCAGATCATAGGTCAGCTTCGGATCGAGCTTCTTCTTCTCGTGACAACTTCCCGGCGAGGAGTGGAACGGACCGAGAGACGATCGGTTCGCAGGATGCGGGAAGCTCCGGGCAGGGGATGGGAGAGGGTTTATCGAGACTCCTCCAGCTTTTGCCTTTGCGACTGGTGTGCGACAAGGGCGCTATCGTGGTGGGAAATGAAAATACAAGGTCGGTCCTCACCACGACCTTCAATGGAGCCACAGGGTTGGTCGAAGCCTGCAGCGCTGGCCCGCTGGACCTCTACCGGCAAGCATTCTCTTTTCACCTCGATCACCCTGTCATCCAAATGAGGCCAAATCCCGATTTCAAGCAGAACCAGCTTGTCGCCGCGAAAGGACTGGGCTCCACCCGACCAGAGCCGTCGGGCACGAAACGCAAGAGAGACACGATTTTCAATTATCATTTTCAAAAACGTAGGGTGTGGCACAGCATTCGTGACCTTATTCCATACTTTCAAACTTCTGTCGAGTCCTTCCATGTTTCCGACAAGCCTGCAGACCCATCTAAGCTTTGGGGAAATACTCACAGTGACGCTCGCTGGACCGGTCTTTCTCGGTATATAGATGAGACCAGCCATGACGACCACGAAGAATGGAGTTCGGTGGAATATGGAAGGTTCTCTACAATTTTGGATAGTCCGGGGATGACCATATCCTATTTTTGGGACATTCCTGGCTTTGTTGTACGACACGCGACGGCTCCGTCATCCCCCCGGCAGAGACCTCCACTGGATATCAACGGTGCCCCGCCCCCCGAGTGGGGAATTGATGTCAAACTTGAGGGCGGTTCTATCAACTACGGGCCCTGGGCTGATCGGGAACGGGTCGGGCTACAGAATGTGTTCTTCCCCAATAGTTACCGAAGCTCCGACTCCGCGGAGCCCTTGACTCCGGGCGACCCAAGGAAAAGCACGTTGTTCAGACTGCGGATAGAAACCAGCCAGGATATGACCCTGCGAGTCCCGACGAGAGAACCATCTAAGGATTGGCAGTGGAAAGGACGGGCTGATGCAATCAGAGGTTCTTCCAAGCTCAAGAAGCAGCAATCGAGGAGAAAATCACGCGAGGGCGACAAGGGCCATATTGGACCCGATATTCGTCCTTTTGGGTGGCTGTCTTTGCGCGTGTCCGGTGATTCCACTCTAAACTACAACATGGATATGGTGGCTTCAGGCCCGAGGTTTCGTAACCAGCTTGACTTGGATTTTCGGGACTCCAAGATGACTTCAAGCGTCAATCATGCATTGTTATGGCAGTGTCCTAGACAACTGCTCAGCTGCGATCTCTCGGTGCCCCTCTCCTGGAATGATCTTCGCACATGGAAGTTCGACATTGACAATCAATCTATGGAGTTATTTCTTCTGCGTGATCACATCTTTCTTCTGACAGATCTTGTTACTGACTGGGCTTCTGGCCCTCCGCAAGACTACTACACATTCGTCCCGTTCATCTACAAGCTCAATCTCTCTTTCGCAGACTTGCGGTTGTTTGTGAACGTGAACGACCAAAACATCATCAGCAACCCTTCTGACCTGGATGACAACCGCTTGCTTCTAATAAAAGGGAAAAGACTGAATTCGGCAGTCACTCTCCCGTTGAACAAATACAGGCCGGATCAAAATGCCGTCGAATTCAATATAAATCTCGACGATGCCGCCATCGACTTTTTGAGTCCTCTATGGGATACCTTCCATACCTTTTTGAGCGATAAATCCACTGCCACTCTGGAGCACTTGTCTATAGGCGGGACATACAATTACTTTCAGTCTACATCGTCGGAGCTGGTGGACACGCTATACCTGAACCTTGATGGTTCGTCCCCTAGACTGTATCTGTATGGGTTCCTCATCAAATCCTTCTTGACAGTCAAGGAAAATTACTTTGGGGAAGAAATGCATTTTAAGACACTCGAGGAGTTTCAGGAGCTTGCTTATTCCAAGGAACAACCCGAGTTGCACAATCAAGCCAATCCAAATAGAGTATCAAATGATCTCGATGTGATTGTGCATGTTAGTGCTAATGACGCCTGTGCTCTTCTCCCCGAGAACATCTATGATCATGTGAAATGTTTAAGGCTCACATCGCCGTCTCTCGAGATCGACCTACGGTTCACTAACTACTACATGGACTTGGAATTTTCAATATCTCCGTTGAAAGTGGGCCTCGAGTCCAACCCACCAGACGGCCCACGTATCATTTCTGACACTCAACTATTCATTGATGGCATTTCTGTATATGGTCATCGTTTGTTTGGGTTGGCTCCCGCAGAGCCCACTTATGTCTGCAATTGGGATTTCAAAGTCGGACGAGTTATTGGAGAATTCTCCACGGATTTCTTGAGCTGTTTGGGTGCGTCCCTGAAAAGTTTCGACTTTTCTTTCGATAACGAAGAAAACGGCCTTCCGCCTTTGTTTCCGATCGCTCTTCATGACGTGACCTTCCTTCGGGCAAATATCGATTTGATTCATGTTTCCATTCTATTGGACAAAGTGGCACTTGTTCTGAGCACCGGCCCGCTGAAGACCCAATTCAATGACTGGACTGATGCCAGGTTCTCAAAGCGCATGAGCCTCATGGTTCCTGACATATCGATCGCTGCAGTTGACTATAAGTTCCTCGGGCCATTCGGGAGTTTGCTTGACACGAAACTGGCTCCTTTCGCACTTGTTCAGTCCACTATCAAGCTTAGGATGGCGCAAAGAAAGAGCGATATCACGGAAGGCAGGAGACTGCAACAGGAGCATTTAAAACTGCACGATGAGAGAACCCAAAGGACTCCGTGGCTTCTTTTTGACTGGGAGGACATTGAACCTGACTTCCCCCAGGGCGCAAAGGATATCTTGGCCCCACCAACCATTCCAATCCCGACAATGCCTGAGTCTGTAGGAAAATTCTCGCAAGGGCTCAAACCACCATTGGCGAGGCATAATTCGGACAGCAGAAGTTATAACAGTTCTGAAAGTTTTCTTATGCACTCTGATACGTCGAGCGTGAGAAATGGGCGGGGACGACTCGCTGGGCGCCAGTTTGATACTTCGCGGGGTGTATCGCAAGCAGATGTTTATCGGATCAGATCTCGAGTAGCCGATGACAGCCGCATGTTTGATGCGTTGGAAAGCAGTAAAATATACGGGAAGGACTCAGCGACAAGCGTGCCGGATTCTTCTAATCCTTGGATCATGCCGAACTTCTCGCTCTACAGGATTGACCTCGATACATCGCAGTTGCCCACGTGCCGGGGCACACATGATAGCCCTGCCGAGACAGCCTTTGCTGAAGCAAAATTTGACACTTATGCCTCGCCGTTCGAAGATGATGAGACAACACACACAGATTTTGCTCTCGAGCTACCTACAGGAGTTAGGGGCTTCTGTCGACCTGAATTCCTTTTCCTGGTGGCGGAATTGGTAGGCAAGCTACAACCGAGACACCCGATTTCGATCATTGATACACTACAAAAAGATGTCCTTTCAGATATTGTGGGCTATGAGAAGGCAATGCAGAACCCTAGAACGGCAACAGCATTTGCAGTACGGGCCCCGTATGTGCTCATGAACTTGGTCCACTCTAGCGATCCTCTCGTCAGCCATGAGTTTGGATTCCACGATGAGTACAGCATCAAGGTTATTCATTTGAAGACAGAGATACGATCAAGGTACCATCAACAGACGGACAATCCTGTCGATAAAAACACCACGGTCCACGCGGCCGCCAAAAGCCTATCGGTGTCTGTCGAAGGTGGCCAAGCCGATACATATCAGGACAAAGCCGAGTTCAGCTGTCTTTTTGAAGACATGAATTTCTGGCTTGTAACAATACCTTTTGTCAAGTCCAAGTTCCAAACTCGTGCATTTGACACTGTGACGTCGACAAGATCAGTGGAGCCTTTGGCCTTCCTAGTCCGTCGTACAACAACCATGTTTGATTCTCTTGCATACTCCTTCCAGCATAACTCGGCTCTCGAGCGGAAAAGACTTCGCTTCCTGATCTATTTTCTGACACAAACGGCCGCCACTACTTCCGATCCGGTCTTCCTGACACGCATCTCGTATGTATTGAGGGTTGCACCTACTCATCTACGGCATCATGATTCATGGAAGATACTGTCTCGGATTCGAAACGTTTACAATTGCTTGTCTTATGATCAACAGAAGGATCTTATTTCGAAATGCGAGACTGACAACATCTTGCTGCCCCGCAATGCACGGACTACTGTCTTATCAAGTTTCGACCAGTGGCGTGCGTGGGATTTGGCCCATGTCGAGAAAAGCGACGTGATGCGGAGGGTTTGGGATACCTTCGCGCCTAAAGAGGAGAACGCCACCCCTACAGCACAATTTTCCATTGTAGTGAAATCCTTCCGCTTTGCAATTGATCCTGGGCCGAAGGAAAGCGGTTTTGTCATTGAGGATCTGGCCACTGCCATTTCAGCGCATCCCCCAAAGAAGCAACCATCGGGTGTCGAGATCAAGCAAAATAATCTGGTAACCATCCAGACTTACTGCTCATCCACTAGCCTTAGGCTCCGCTGGGAAGTATTAGACATTGTGGAAGGAGTTATGAAGGCAATGTCTTCTGTGACACTTGAATCCACTGTCCGGACCCAAAGCCTCGGAGAACCTCAAAGTGAAAAGAGTGAGCTTCAGTTTACGTTTGGCACAGACCTCGGATCCATAACGCTCGATGGTATCAACGTCAAGATTGTGATGGCTGGAACGGGGCTCCGAAGTTCTATCAGCCAGATATTAAATAGCAGAGAAAGCCCTGACGGCCTGAGTGTGCTGATGAGTGCTGAAGGATGTTCTTCGGAGATCTCCAACATTTCCGAGACTCTTATGTTGTGGAAAATTGCTGATCCACACGTGTACATCGCACGTGTCTCTGAACAGACGGGGCCTGATCTAATTCACGACTGGAGAATCGTGGGGTCATGCACGAAACTCCGCTATGAAATGCGCGAGGATCCATTGAACCTTGCTCACACTGCAGACAGGCTGATAGAAGATGAAGTCCGATACATCCATCAGCTTGTTAAGAACTTGGATCCGCCCACACGGCAGTCCCCTAAGGTCGAACCAGCGAAAAAAGCGTCCAACAACAAGATCCACATAGCAATGTTTCTGGATGATTATCGTCTAAGCTTCTGTGTTTTACCATCACTTAAGTATGTCATATCTGGAGAAGTCGCTCGCACGTCCATCATACCGACTCGCGATTCAAAGTTGGAGATAGACTTTGATGTGAAAAGGAACCTGCATACATTTCTGTCAAGCGAGGGTAGTGGGTGGCATCGTCTATCGGTGCTGGAGATCCCGCCAATCAACGGTCGAGTGATAGCCAATATGGCGCCTGTTAGGACGGATGTGGAAGTTGATATGACAATTGAGCTCATCAGACTGGAGGCGAGCTCCGTGAGAACCCTCCTGGGCTCTCTCACAAAGCCAGAGGTGTCCCACTTCATGGCTGATCTCAAGGAAAACTTCAAGTCTCTTCAACAGCGCCTCGATGAAGTTCTCGCTCTTGACAAAACACCCAAGCAACAGAAAGAATCTCCCAAGGACCATGGCATTCTCTACAAGGCGAGCATGTCAATGGCAGGGATAAAGATACACGCTCTAGCGCCCGGTTTGAATAGTAAAGATTATTCAGCCGACTTGGAATTGACGCTAGGTATGATGCGTATGCGCCTCGACAACGGCTTGGAGGACGGATACCCAATGCAATATCCCGAATTCCACGTCGACACGTCCAATATAAGTCTCGATCTTCGGAAGAAAGAGGCGTCTAGAAGCCGATCTTACTGCAGCTTTGCCATCGATGCAAAACTCCAAGGGACCTCGACAAGACTTGAAAATGGTGACCTCAGGAGAGTGTATCACTTGAGCAGTAAGAAGTGTGATATCGAGCTCTTTTCCGAAACAGCTGCCCTGGTCGTTGATATGGCAGCTCATCTCCAGGAGCGCATCAAAACTTTGGATTTGTCTCACGAGGTGGAGCGTTTCAAGAAATTGCGCAAGCGAGGCCATACAGAGACAAAAGCCAAGTCAACAGGTATCCCAGAGATACGCATATCAGATGAGGGCGGCGCTCAAGATCTCTTCGACGCCATGTATTCGTTGGATTTCAATAACATTCAAATCGCCTGGAACATGACCACCGTGGTATTGCCCACGTCCGCACGCAAACCCGACGACCTGGTTTTCTCCATCAAGCGTGTGGAGTTGTCGAACAAGAAGACCAACGCCGCAAAGCTTCGTATTGAGGATATGCAATTGCAGATGGTTCCGTTCTCAAGCAACAGAGAAAAACGCTCCCTCAATTCGGCCTTATTGCCAGAACTGGTCTTCAATGTTGCATATGCCTCGACAGGAAAAGAAGCTCGACTGGCCTTCCAGGCAGCCGGGAAGTCATTGGACATACGGGCGACTTCTGATTTCGTCATGCCTGCTAGTACCATTCGAGATTCCATTGCTTCTGCAAGTCGAATCATCCGTGATGCCAATTCCTCCCTGATGCCCAAGCCCGCTGAAGAGGGCACCGAAGAGGGCACAAAGCAACGTTCCCTTTTCGGAAACAAGCGCCTGCGCTCCGTACTGGTTGACGTCGACTTCGCTGGTGCCATTGTATCGCTACAAGGGAGACGTAGCGAAGACCAACAGTTGACGGCAGCGCGCAAGGGGAGTCGGGCATCAGATGCGAATTATGGACACTATATCCACGGGGATGGAGTAGCCACGGCGACCCTAAGGGCCCCTGGCGTGGCGTTGAAGGTTCAATTCGAAGACAGCAGCTCCGCTGGCTCTGCATTGAATGCGGAGCTAAAGGTTGATCCGTCCACAAACGTTCTGCATCCGAGTCTGGTTCCGTTGGTGAAACAGATGACCTCGGCGGTGCAACAGGTTATGGGAGGCCAACAAAAGCCTAGAAGACCGTCTAGCGCGATGATGCTGCAGCCTCAGAAGCTTATGCAAGAGGCACCACTCGATGATGAAGGAAGAGACACGATTCTGGGGAGATGCAAACTGAACGTGGGCCTTCTCATCTGCAAACAAGAATTCAGCTTGAGCTGCCAACCCATCGCCAGAGTCGCGGCCACTGCAGGGTTTGAAAGTGTCTACGTAACTATCAACACCGTTCAGTCTGATGAATATGGCAGATTTTTGTCACTCTTGATGACATTCAACTCATTGCAAGCTTCGGTGAAACACGTCTATTCCAGCGAGTCCACTGCAAGCTTTGAGGTCCAATCTATGGTCATGTCCGTTATGAACAGCAAGCACATTGGCAGTTCCAAGGGTATTTCGGCTGTGCTCAGAGTCAGCCCAATGCAGGTTGCCCTCAACGCCAAGCAAGTACAGGATTTGCTCCTTTTCCGAGAAATCTGGTTCCCATCGAATGAGGACATAGATGTGGAGCGAAAATTCCCTCCGTCGTCCCCGGAGACGCCACCCTATATTGTTCAGCGATATCAGCAAGTTGCGTCGGCCTCTGCATTCCCATGGAACACGGCTATTGCAGTCGAGAGGCTGGAGATTCATCTCGACCTAGGGTCCACCCTTGGAAAGGCTCAGTTTGGCATCAACGATTTATGGATGTCGTCGAAGAAGACGTCCAATCAGGAACAAACGCTGTGCATTAAGCTGAAATCCCTCGGGGTAGAAGGCAAAGGTCGGATGAGTGGGTTGATTGAACTAGAGACGCTGAAAGTCCATACCTCAATCCACTGGCCCGACGACATGCTCCACAGCCAGACTCCTCTTGTTCAAGCCTCGATTGCCTTCAACCAATTCCAAATGAAGGTTTCCTTCGACTATCAGCCTTTCATCATTGGCCACATCACGATGTTCAATTTCCTCATGTACAATGTCCGGAACGTCTCTGGCAACGAGCGACTGTTTAGCATTCTGGATGGAGATAAAGTACAGGTTTTTTGTACAAGCCTGACCGCGTCGCAGACGATTGCTTTGTTCCAAGCATGGCAGCGCCTCGTGCAAGACAAGCAGTCAGCATACGAAAGGGCATTGGATGACGCACAGAGATACATGCGCCGACGAACTTCCAGTTTCGCAAGCAAACCCGAGCTTCCAAACGAAGCGAAGGCTAAAGATAAGGACGAAAAGGACGAAAAAGCACCAATATCTCTCCAAACGGGGGTTGTCGTCTCGCTGAACTCCGTCAATCTCGGGGTGTTCCCCAGCTCCTTCTACGACAATCATGTATTCAAACTGGAGGCACATGACGCCCAAGCCCATTTCCACGTGTCCCTCGAAGAGGAGCGAATACACAGTATCCTGGGACTCACTCTCGGCGAGCTGCGCGTTGCACTCTCGGGGATCACGCGGCCGCATCCAATGGAAGTGCAAGACCTGCTCGTCAGCGAGATCGCCACCCGAGTCGTGGAATCCACTGGAGGCACAATCCTCAAGGTCCCCCGACTCGTAGCCAGCATGGAGACATGGCAGAAACCCGGAGACTCCAAAATCGACTACATCTTCCACAGCTCCTTCGAAGGCAAAGTCGACGTCGGATGGAACTACTCGCGCATCAGTTTCATCCGCGATATGTGGGACTCACACTCTCGCGCCTTGGCCTCCCGGCTCGGAAAGCCACTGCCGCCATCTGCAGTCCGAATCACGGGAGGACTCAAGGAGGGCGACGACACCAAGGAGCAGCAGGAGAAGATCACCGCTGTTGTAAACGTGCCTCAGTCGAAGTACACGTATGTTGCGCTGGAACCGCCGGTGATTGAGACGCCTCAGCTGCGTGATATGGGTGAGGCTACGCCGCCTCTGGAATGGATTGGGCTGCAGCGTGATAAGCTGCCCAATATCACGCATCAGATTATTATCGTGACTTTGTTGGAGATTGCTAGGGAGGTGGAAGATGCGTATGAGAAGATCTTGGGGTCTTCGTGAGCTTGGGCCTTGGAGGGAGGTTCTTGGAAGCTTTATTTCTATGTATATATACAAGTTGGTGTACGATTTTTAATGCTTATAGATTTTACAAATTTCAACATTGTTCACGATAAAATCATCGTAATGTTGTCGTCTCGTCCTGAGACATGTATGCTTTTGCAAACAGTACTCTCTTGGGTGGGTTCTGAAGCAATATATATATATACATGATCCGCGCCAGTGCTCTCGTTGCCAGCTTATCTCCGTAATGTTGTGTCAGAATTCCTCCACAAATCATATACTACATTGATGAGATTGTTCCGTCTAAATAGACAAGCTTCATAACAGGGAAAACTGAAACGAAGAATTAGGGATGCAGAGGGATGAGATGAACACCTAGTTCTGTACACGATATTTCATCATAGGCGTGTTGGAATAGTTCTTCCACAATATTTTGACAGTGAAGAATCCCATTTCCTAGCCCTCCGACTCAACTACATCTTGAAAACGTATCTATACCTAGGAGATGTATATAATATCTCAATTCGCGAGATACATGGTAAAAATTGGTTGGGAATATTAGGACTACATACTACAACCCCAAGAATTAGAGATAGACTATACTGTCTGTACAAGCAGGACTCATAATTATGTTTCTATATATATCTGATTTCTAATATCTTCTTTCGAGAACAAAGATCTGGTATAGAATCATATAACAGAGAATCTAAATGGCTTCCAGAAAAGCGAAGATTATATACGGATGTATCCTACAGCCGTTTGAGATGTAGGACGGACTCTCTCAAGGAGTATGGAAACATCTAGAGAACCAAAGTATGTATAGAATAGAATAGCAATGTATTTGACTACAGTTCATTTCGATATGCATAAGCTTGCTGCAAAAGTACTCTGCATCAGTAGAATCAGATAGACCCGGATAAGATGATGTATTCGGTTGAAGAACCAAAATGGATTAATAAGCCAGCCCTTCTCAATCGGAACTTTAGTGCGTTAAATCCACCTAAGTCCGCCTCCAATCAGGTGGGCGGTGAGTGGAGGGGTAAGTCGGCCCTCTCCCCTCATTGGGTTGCGGTGCGGCACTAACAGGTGGTATCTACGACTTTTGTTTGACCTTTTAATTTATTTCCTGTTTCGAGAGGATCAGAGATTGAAGGCGATAATCCTGTCGATTCGCTAAATGTAACAAAGGATGGGGATGACAACGGGTCTAGTCTAGTAGAAGGCGTAGAGCAGATAGGCGATGATGAGGGGGGGGGACGCGGGACTGAAAAGTTGGAACCCGGGAAAAGTGGAAGGTAATTTAAACTGTAATGCTTGAGTCATACGGTACCGCTGACCTGCTGATTACAATGATTACAACACCCCTCCAAAGCAACGCCACCGAACCTGCAACACATGGGATGATACCTTGATACCATCGATTGATTGCTGGCAATTGAATAGTCCTAAAAAATCTTGTGCATCAGTAGAGCTTAAAATGAGTCTTCCTCTGACTCACATCCAATGCCTCCCATAATTCTGTGGTCAGCCGTTGCGTCTGCTTGTACTCATAATGTTACAACCGGCATAATGCAGCTCCGGAGCTCAGTGTATGATATCAATTAAATCTAGTCTAACCATGGTCACCCGAGAGACCGGCCTAAATGTCATCAAACTTACGTGTATATTACGTGTATAACCGTAACCATACCAAGGGTAAGCGGGAACTGTAGGAAAAGCTAAGGGAAAAAAACGCACATCCCACTAAGTAGATTTGAAATCGGAAAAAATCCCACCTGCACAGTCAAGCTAAGAGAGAAGGAAAAAAAAAAGAGTAAAAAAAAAAAATGGAAAGAAAAAAAAAAAGTGGTTCCCCACCTTCTCGCTTTCTCTTCTTCCCCTCTTCACTCCAACCACACCATCCTCCCTCTTTTTCCTCTCTCTCCCCTTCCCTTCTTCACCTTCCCCCGTGAAGCCCTCTCCTCCCCTCTATCTTGGAGCAGAAAACATATAGGTTTATTTACCTATTTATCTTCAGGTCGAGCTAATACTCGATCCTGTTTGTGTTTTCTGTTTCTTATTCAACCCCGCCTCTAAGGCCGTTGTCGAGAAAAACCCGCCAAGATGGTTAAGTATGTATACCACCACCCTTCTGTGCTTCCTCGGATCCTCGCGGGTTCGTTCTGGAGTTTTTGAATCGATGTGCTAACGATGTATTTGATAGCTTCACTATCGAAGAGGTCCGTTTTTGGCTGTTCCCATACCCTCGAAATGGGGGCCTCGCAACACCGTAGCTAACAACGTCTAGATCCGGTCCCTCATGGACCGGCCGGCTAACATCCGTAACATGTCCGTCATTGCTCACGGTATGTTCATCTTCCTGTCTCCTGTTACGATTGAGAATGGAATGCTAATCGTGGTTGCCACTCTCCAGTCGATCACGGAAAGTCCACCCTCTCCGACTCGATGGTCCAGAAGGCCGGTATCATTTCGGCTGCCAAGGCTGGTGAGACTCGTTTCATGGACACCCGTCCCGACGAGCAGGACCGTTGCATTACCATCAAGTCCACCGCCATCTCCCTGTACGCCCAGTTCCCCGACGAGGAGGATCTCAAGGAGATCCCTCAGAAGGTCGACGGCTCGGAGTTCCTGATCAACCTGATCGACTCCCCCGGTCACGTTGATTTCTCGTCTGAGGTCACCGCTGCCCTGCGTGTCACTGATGGTGCCCTGGTCGTCGTCGACTGTGTCTCCGGTGTCTGTGTCCAGACCGAGACCGTCCTGCGTCAGGCCCTGACCGAGCGTATCAAGCCCGTCCTGATCATCAACAAGGTCGACCGTGCTCTGCTCGAGTTGCAGGTCTCCAAGGAGGATCTGTACCAGTCCTTCTCCCGTACCATTGAGTCGGTCAACGTCATCATCGCCACCTACTTCGACAAGGTCCTCGGTGACGTCCAGGTCTACCCCGACAGAGGTACCGTTGCTTTCGGCTCCGGTCTGCACGGCTGGGCTTTCACCGTCCGCCAGTTCGCCGTCAAGTACGCCAAGAAGTTCGGTGTTGACCGCAAGAAGATGCTTGAGCGTCTGTGGGTAAGTCATCATTCCTTCCACTAGTAGCTATACCAAGGTCGAGGACTAACATGGCATGTAGGGCGACAACTACTTCAACCCCAAGACCAAGAAGTGGACCAACAAGGCCGAGTCTGATGGCAAGCCCCTGGAGCGTGCCTTCAACATGTTCATCTTGGACCCCATCTTCCGTATCTTCGCCGCTGTCACCAACGACAAGCGCGATGAGGTGCTTACTCTGGTTGAGAAGCTGGAGGTTAAGCTCACCAACGAGGAGAAGGAGTACGCCGGCAAGCAGCTCCTCAAGACTGTCATGCGCAAGTTCCTGCCTGCCGCTGATGCCATGTTGGAGATGATCTGTATCCATCTGCCCTCTCCCGTCACTGCCCAGAAGTACCGTGCCGAGACTCTGTACGAGGGTCCCGCCGACGACGAGTGCGCCCTGGGTATCCGTGACTGTGACCCCAAGGCTCCTCTGATGCTGTACGTCTCCAAGATGGTGCCCACCTCCGATAAGGGTCGTTTCTACGCTTTCGGTCGTGTCTACTCCGGTACCGTCCGCTCCGGTCTGAAGGTCCGTATCCAGGGTCCCAACTACACCCCTGGCAAGAAGGAGGATCTCTTCATCAAGAACATCCAGCGTACCATCCTGATGATGGGTCGTTTCGTCGAGCCCATCGAGGATGTGCCCTGCGGTAACATCGTCGGTCTGGTCGGTGTCGATCAGTTCTTGCTGAAGTCTGGTACCCTTACCACCTCCGAGACTGCCCACAACCTGAAGGTCATGAAGTTCTCCGTCTCCCCCGTCGTGCAGCGCTCCGTCGAGGTCAAGAACGCCCAGGATCTGCCCAAGCTGGTCGAGGGTCTCAAGCGTCTGTCCAAGTCCGATCCTTGCGTCCTGACCATGATCAACGAGGCCGGTGAGCACATTGTCGCCGGTGCCGGTGAGCTGCATCTCGAGATTTGCCTGAAGGATCTCGAGGAGGACCACGCCGGTATCCCTCTGCGCATCTCGGACCCCGTCGTGTCTTACCGTGAGACCGTCTCCGCCGCGTCGAGCATGACTGCCCTGTCCAAGTCGCCCAACAAGCACAACCGTCTGTACCTGACCGCTCAGCCCATGGAGGAGGAGCTGTGCCTGGCCATCGAGTCCGGCAAGATCAGCCCCCGTGACGATTTCAAGGCTCGTGCCCGTGTCATGGCCGACGAGTACGGCTGGGACGTCACCGACGCCCGTAAGATCTGGTGCTTCGGTCCCGACACCACCGGTGCCAACTTGCTGGTCGACCAGTCCAAGGCCGTCCAGTACCTCAACGAAATCAAGGATTCGTTCGTCTCTGGTTTCCAGTGGGCCACCCGCGAGGGTCCCGTTGCCGAGGAGCCCATGCGTGCCGTGCGCTTCAACGTCCTGGATGTGACCCTGCACGCCGATGCCATCCACCGTGGTGGTGGTCAGATCATCCCCACCGCTCGTCGTGTGCTGTACGCCGCCACCATGCTGGCCGATCCCGGCATCCTGGAGCCCATCTTCAACGTCGAGATCCAGGTGCCCGAGCAGGCCATGGGTGGTATCTACGGTGTGCTCACCCGCCGCCGTGGTCACGTCTACACTGAGGAGCAGCGCCCCGGTACTCCTCTGTTCAACGTCAAGGCCTACCTGCCCGTCAACGAGTCCTTCGGCTTCCCCTCGGATCTCCGCCAGGCCACCGGTGGCCAGGCCTTCCCCCAGTCCGTCTTCGACCATTGGGCTGTCCTGCCCGGTGGATCCTGCCTGGACCCCACCACCAAGCCTGGTATCGTCGTTACTGAGATGCGTAAGCGCAAGGGTCTCAAGGAGCAGGTTCCCGGCTACGAGAACGTAAGTTTCTTCTTCATCCTATTTACTGTCCTTGACCACGTACTAACACTCTGCCACAGTACTACGACAAGCTGTAAAAAATTTGTTTCACCCGAGCCTAGTAGGGTTCCAGCATGCCGTGTCTGGAATTCTAAGTTTATGAGTTTGACGAATGCGATACAATGTCCATGCTAAGGGAGAACAAAATTTTTTTCAAAAAGGAGACAGCAGCGTCGTATGTGGATTTTCGACTTGAATACTTAGAGAAGTAGAATCCAGGAGTGAAAGCGCATCTGCTATGGCTTATCCAGTTTTTCCTACTATCAATTTTGTTTTACGTTTATGATCGCGAGGACTTTAATCAAATAGTTCACTTGCTGTTCGATGGTTTGTAGACATGAAATCGTAGAGTTGTAAATCACATCAAATCCCACCAGATGATTGTAACATGCCTGACTGAGATTGGCATAACGAATATGGCTTCTCTGGTGGGAGGGAGATGGATGTGTATTCCGTAGTGGGAGTGAGGAGGAGGGTTGCCTCGGTGCTTGACGTACGGTCACGTGACCCGCCCGGCATCCGCGTAGCTCGCGTCGCTTCTCGCAAAGCTGCCTCTGCAAGCCGCCAAGCTCTTTTCTTGAACTGGTCTTCTCTTTCGCAACCACCGAATGCCCTGAATGGAACACTTGATGCTCCAGTACTATCGCCGTCAACTATCCTAAGATACAGTGCTATTTCCTACATCCATCGCCGACGGGTACCCCGGATCGTGACCGAACCAAGCCGTGCAGTCTAGTCGCTGCCATTTGCGGTCGTCCTTGACACCGTTGAGATCCCGACCAAACGATACTGTCACCAACATTGATTCTGTCTCTGTGAAGCACCATGCAGCTGACGGAGAGCGAGGCGAATGATGTCAAGCAGTGGGTGGTGAAGAAGCTGGAGGACATGTAAGGCTTTCCTTTGAGCTCTCTGTGAGCCGACCGATGAGGCGGGCTCCTTTTCCCTTTTTCTTCACACGCGGTTGTCTCTTGCCGTCGCGCACAATTTCCGGATCGCTAACTCAAGGGTTTGATAAATAATAGATCGGATGCAGACTCCGATGTCCTTGCAGACTATGTCCTTGCGCTGATTAGGTCCGATGTTCCGGATGACGAAATCCGGAAAGCTTCCGTGGAGAACCTGGAGGACTTTTTGAGAGAGCGTTAGTAGTGTCAATCAACCTCTCTTGGAAGTGCTTTTCTAATTGGTCTTTATCGAATGATAGATACCGCCCAGTTTGTTGACGAGCTGTTCGCCACATTCGCTCAGAAGCCCAACCCGCCGGCGCCGGCTGTGCAACCTCAGAGCCAGTCGCAGTTCTCCCATGACGCTCCTCCCCATGGCGCATCCCCTCAGCAGCCTTTCTTCCCCCAAGGGCCCGCTTCCGGCCCCACGGCAGGCGCATATGGGTCGCCCATGGCCGGTATGCCTCAATCCCAAGACTCGTCTCCCAACTTCAATCGCAAGCGCAGCTTCCATGAGGGATTTCAAATGGACCAAGACCGTGAGGAGGAGGTTCCTCAAAATCGCGCATTCAAGACGCCTCGCCGCGGGCGCGGGGGTGGTCGGGGCGACTGGATGGGACGGGATGGGCGTGGACCTCCTACTGGACCGGGCCAGTTCCCTGCCCCGGGACCGGGCGGGTTTCCTGGTATGCCACCTGCGTTTCCGCCCTTCGATCAAAACGATCCCATGGCGGCGATGATGGCTTTCCAGAGCATGGGCTTCCCTCAGATGCCGGGAATGCCCATGCCCATGCCCCCAGGCCCGGGCGGTGCGGGTCAACCACAGGAACAAATGGTACCCAAAAGTTCCGAACGGTGCCCATTCTACGAAACCCAGGGTATCTGTTATCTGGGAGCTACGTGTCCCTACCAGCATGATGTCGTGCCTAGTAGTTCCAACGCGGATGGTAAGTGACGGCGCTGCACATTTGTTACTGAAGATTTGCTCACTGTTGGCAATAGAGTACGATCCGAAATCAGCGAATATCTTAACCGACTTCCAAAGGCCACACTCGGACAGCCCCATGCGCGGAGGCGAGAGAGGCCGTGGTCGTGGCCGTGGCCGTGGTGACCGTGGTGGATTCGGAGGCCGCGGGCGTCGGTCCGAGTTCTCTTCTGCTGGTCCCAACGAAGATACCTCTATCACCACGATCGTTGTCGAGCAGATTCCTGACGAAAAATTGGATGAAACGTCGGTCAGGGAGTTCTTCTCGCAGTACGGGGAGATCGTGGATGTCTCCATCCAGCCACATCGGCGGTTGGCGTTAGTCACGTATGACGGCCATGCAGCAGCTAAGCGGGCCTGGTCCAGCCCCAAGGTGATTTTCGACAACCGATTCGTCAAGGTGTACTGGCACAAACCCAAGGGAGACAAGAACGGAGAGCGGCCGACATCGGGTGACGACATGGCCAAGGGACCAGCATTCAACCAAGAGGAGTTCGAAAAGCAGCAAGAAGCCGCACAGAAGGCCCACGAGGAGAAGTTACAAAAACGCAAGGAGATGGAAGAAGCGATGCAAGCGCTGGACAAGCAGCGCGAAGAGCTCATGAAGAAACAGCAGGAAGAGAAACAGCGGTTACTGGAAAAGATCGGCCAGGAGAGCACGAGCAACGGCGCGCAGTCTCCAGACGGAATGAGTCAAACCCCACCTCAGGAAAACGCGAACGATCAGACAAAGCAGCTGCGGGCACAGCTCGCGGCCCTCGAGGCCGAGGCAAAGACCCTCGGAATCGACCCCAACAGCGCGGAGGCCGGTGCATCTTATCCCTTCCGTGGTCGCGGCAGGGGATATGGCCGAGGCGGATTCGCGCCCCGTGGCCGCGGCGGGTACGATCCTTCTCACCGCGGAGGTTTCCGCGGGCGTGGAGGCGGCGTCGCTCGTGGCCGAGGCGGTGTCCTTCGTCTGGACAATCGGCCCCGGAGAGTCGCCGTATCAGGTGTCACATTTGACTCCGAGAAGGACGAAGCCTTCAAACAATTCCTCCTAGTACGTCTCCCCAGCCCACATTCCTGCCTTCCAAGCAGCCCAACAACTAACAAACACTCCCAGAACGTCGGCGACTACGAGTCCATCGAACCCAGCACCGAGCAACCCGACACCCTAGTCGTAACCTTCAAACAGCGCTTCATCGCCGAGAAGTTCATGTTCGGCTCGTGGAAGATCCCGGGCGTCGGCGAAGTCCAGCTCACCTGGGTCGCCAACCCTCCCCCAGCGCTGTCCACCGCATCGACGGGAACCGGATCTGATGGGAAGGCGGGCACCGGCACCGACGATGACACTGCCATGGATACTACGTCCGCGCCGTCCCTTCAACAGGACCATTCGGGAGGGGCCCAGGTTGATTACGACGTTGCGGAGATGGAGGATAACTGGGATGTGGAGTAAATACATAGATTTCTCTTTTTACATTTTCCGTTTCCGCCCCGTCTTCCTTGCTTTGTTTCTTTGATTCTACCTGTCTAGATATGATGAGATCTTGTTTGTTGTGACGTCTGGGTGGTTATGATGGTTTCGGTGTCTAGGGTAATGTTAAAAATATGATGGTTTATTCTCTGTGCTGTTCTCTCTGCCTGTCTTGAACTGATATGGGCAAGTACAGTAGTCTCGCCATATTGACATGCATAATGACGCAACACTACCTTTCTGACAGCAAAAGCCATCTATCTACTGCATATTCTGCGGAACAAGCTCAACAAGATACCCGTCCTGCCTAACATTAGCACACCGACGCACCCCAGAAAAAGAAAATGGAAAGAAAGGGAAAAAAAAAAACTCACCGGATCAGCCACAAACCCAATCTGATCAAAGAACCTCTTATAGTTATCATGAAGCTCACCCACCCCCACCCCCCTCCCCTCCTCCCACTCACTAAGCGGCACCGTATGCCTCCCACTATCCCCCAACTCCTTCACAACCCTGACCCCACGCCCCCTCAACCTCTCCAGCGCCTCACCCACATCCGGAACCGTAAACCCCAAATGCCCGAACCCAATCTGTGGCGGCGTATTCCCGGTACTCATCTCAACGCCCCCGTCTTCCACATCCCTCTCGGTGCCATGCACATGGTACAGCTCGAGCAGCCCCAGCGTCGAGGTGAGTGCTTGCGGGTTGGACAAGCGGGCGGCCCAGGCGGGGAGGTCGGCGCGGTCGGTTGCGGTGGACGGGTAGGCGAGGTAGTAGAGGGTGAAGGGGCCGGTGTTCATTGTCCAGACTGTGCGCATGCCCATGTGGTTGATGTAGAAGTTGAGACTGCGGGTTGGGTCCCGGATGCGCAGCATGCTGTGGTTGAGGCGGTAGTTGGCTGTGGGGCTGGTTTCGGGGAGCGGGGGGTCCGTGTTGTGTCCTCCTGGGAGGAAGGTGCCGAGTTCGTAGGGGGAGGGGTTTGGGGGGGTCATTTTGGGGGGGGGGGGGGGAATGGTGGTTTGATGGTGGTTGTTGGTGATGGTGGAGGTTTAGTTGTGGGGGATGATTGTCGTTGGGGAGAGGATTGTCTGTGATGGAAATATTGTGGGGTTTGTATAGGGGATGAGTCAATTGAGAAGAGCGGGTGAATGCCAGAAGCAGTATATCCTGGTTGCGATTGATCCAGGCAGTGTTGCTCAGATGGTGAATAATATCAAAGATGCAACATGCGTCTACCTAGCCTCACTGCTGTCAACCTTGCCGAGACCCGCTTTGGTTAAGATTGGCATTCTGTACGACTCCCCACTTTGATAACGGATGTCAGTGTCACAGTGGATAGCCCGTCATGTCCGCTAGGACAGCCCCAGTATGAGCCTTGCTGCGGCATGCGATAGATATTATATGGGTTTGAGCAGTCTGTTTGTGGATTCTACGATATTGGCAGAGAGTTCAATCATTAGGTGTATAACTCCATTTTGCTATCTATGGTTGGCAGATCAAGCCTGTCCATATTGTAACGCCAATGTTTTAAGATGAAGATGCTATGTGCAATGTGAGGAAGCCACCAGGGTAGATAGAATGCAGGCCCAATTTTCAGACATGGTCTCGGATTATCCCATGTTAAATGACCAGTCTGGGTCTTTCCTTTACCCAGACAAAGCCCTGCGATCCTGATCACTGGTGCTTTCTTTTTTGATTATTGCCTTCTTTGCCATATCTCGAGCAAAAGGCTTTTCATCTTCGCTGTCACTTTCCATCTGATCGAGCATACGGTCGATTTCGTCCCCGGCATTAGCCTCCAGGCCCGGGTCTAGCGCTTCTTTTTTACATATGGTTTGACGATTGTCTTGATTGGGCTGTGATTTCTGGGTCCATGCACCAGTCGACGCTCCAACGCTGCTGGGCAAATGGTTCTGTTGCTGAGAGGGTTGGGAGTTGGAGCGGTAGCCTGAATTTCCCGGGCTAGACATGAATAATAAAGTCTCAATGGCGTCCTGCTCCATGGAGGTGTTCTGCGAGTGTCGGTCCTGGCTGGACATCCCGTTGAATGGGATATTGGTCGGGTATCCCGTTGGTCGGAGGGGTGGTGTTCCTGGTACTAGTACGGTATCTGGGCCCATAGAAGGCCTTTGTAGGCTGAATTCTTGCTGTGAGTGATGTCGTCGGTGAAGGGAGATGGGTGTGCGATGACCATGGATGGTTGGTTCGTTTGGATTCGGACGTCTGCGGTTGCTACTACCAGAGACGATGTCGACGGGAGGAGCGAGTTTTGGAATTGACAACTCCGACGACGTTGGTGACTTTGACGGTTCAAGCTGCCTTGTTTGAGAGTAATTTTCTGAGCTCCCTGCTGGAAGCAACCGCGGAGCACCCTTGAGAGAATAGATGGGAGATGTTTTAGGGGGGTCTGGTGCAGAGACGGTCGTACCATCTGGCGAGGCAGCGTCTCGAAGGGGTCGACCGTCCGGACCATCAAGGCCTGGAGAATCATCTAAAAGAAACCCCGATGGTAACTGAATCTGTGCGCTTTGACTCTTGCGACTCTTTTCTACCTTGGCAGCAGCATAAGACAGGCGAGTGCGGAGGTGCACCGATAACTAGACGACTGTCAGCATATACCTTAAGTATATGTTGGTTGGAAAACATACCGCTGCAATCCTGCTCCCACGTGTGCCAGAGCCAATGCTTCTTGAGCGACGCCTTTCAATACCCCTTGGGCTGACATCTGCCTCCCTTGGAGGCTTGACCACACCATCCGCTGTCCCTCTTTGCCCTACAGCAGTTTTTGGTGGGCACGATGATGGTGCAACGGTCGACGGGGCCCCCTTGCTTTGCACGCCAGACAGCAATGGATCCTGTCTCATATGCTGCCCATTTATTCGACCACCCGCGCCCATTCGCGCTGTCTCAATTTGTATTTCCTCCGTGACTTTTGGTGTACTCTGTATAGCCCTAGGCGATATGGATCGTGGGCTTCGTGAACCGAAATTATGATCCGAATTATGTATTGAACCGTCAAGTATTTTCTCCTGGCTTAATTGGCCACGGCTCCGAGCAGCTGCATCCGCAGTAGTTCGAGGGTCCATCTGCAGACCGGAAGTTTGCGCCGACTGCACGTGTCTGCGATCCAGATGCAGCGAAGTACCCATAATTCGAAGGCAGGCAAAATACCGACTTCTAACAAATATCAATCTCCAGCGGCATCCGATCTAAGTAAAAATTCCACTGTTAAATGCGCGACAAAAGACATCAACGCATGGATCCCTCTCTAGGGTCAAGAGGGGTTGTTGTGTCGCCCGGCGGCACGAATGATCGGATCGCCGGCCGGGTCAAGAGGAGGTTGGCGCGGGAATGACCGTTGCGGAGCCGCTCGCTGGGAACGTGCCACTCACTGGCCCACCGATGGAGATGAAACAGCCCCCTCGATCTGCGGACGCCCTCCCGTCCTGCAAGATGCTGCAAGGAAGCAAGCGCCTTTCTGCGGTATCTATACGCGCAAGGCGTGATCAACGGCGGGTGGGAATAAAGCTTCCAACTACCGTTACTGGCGGTCTCCACACAACGCGCTCGAGTTTGCTCGGTGTCAGATTGAGTCGACAGATGGAAATGCGGGGGATAGAGAGAGAGAATGGATGCCAGAGGCACATGAAGATCAATTGCCACTACATTGAGAGAATATACAAGATCGGAGGGAAGATTCTGGGCTCTTTGAACTCGTGGGTGGGATCGCTGGTCGGTTTCTTCTCGTCGATCCCGTGCTGTCAACGACGCGTTCGCGGCACGGTCACGTGTGCGCCGTCTCCGCCTGGGTTGTCAGGCGAAAACGTCAGATGCTATCGATGCCTGGGGTGAATTGAAGCAAAACATGGGATATTATTTTTAAACGCCATCTACCATGCAGAGTATCTAGATACATATGGACACTGTCTCCCAAACTTTTCGAACAACCGGTAAGTAGCGTAATATGTATAAGCAAGCGGTATCACTCCATCCTTCCGACATCTCATCTTCACCGGCGCTTCTTGCCTCCGCCACCACCGTCGTCGGGATTCTTGCGCTTCTTACCCTCGCGACGCCAGTATTCATCGCGTTCTCTCTTTTCACGCTCGGTTTTCTTCTCCAGACTCTCCGCCGCCTTGGCACGATACACTTGTCTGCGCTCCTCCTGCTTCGCGGCACGCTTGGCTTGCTTGTCGCCGCGCAGGGTCGTAAGCTTCTGCATGAGGTCGCGCGCCTTCTTCTCTTCGCCGCCGACGACCACAGCACGCTTCTGCATGTACGTCTGGTCCTTGTGCTTCCGCATCTTGGTGATCTGGGACTTGAACGGAAGTTCGGTAGCGAGCTGTCGTGGCACACGGAGCGGGTTGAAATTACGCGTGGGACGCTCAACAGGAGCATAGCGCGAATCCTTGTTCTGGGGCGTCGCGATGCCCTTCTCGTGCCGGACTTGGCCCGTGAGGCGCATACCTTTCCATGCGTCGCCATCGGACTCTCCCTCGCCCTGGTCGAGGAGGTTTGTCACGGGGTTGTAGAACCGGTGGGGCTTGATCGGATACCAGGCACGAAGGAAGATAATATCACTCATGAGAATCTTGTCTTCGAAGGTCGCTCGGAAGCACCCTTCCGGCTTGGCTAAGGCGCGTTTGATTTGACCACGAACGCCAGATACGGTGCGGATCGATGCGCCTTCGAACTTGGCAATCTCAAGCGACGAGTTGAACATGTCTTTGATGAAAGCGGTGTTCTTGAAGATCTTGTAGGCAACACCAGTCAACTTGAGTTTCTTCACGATCTCGGTATGCTCGTCCACGTTCAAAACGGTACCGGTAGCCGCAATCCGGAAACCGGGCGTCTTGTTCGACAGCGTCTGCACGCAGCAGAATCCGGTGTTTGGCGCAACCAGCGGACCATAGAAGGTCGCGGAGCAGTGCATGTGCTCCGGACTGTACTTAAGCAAGCGGTTGCGCGTCCGACTGTCCGATGTGCTGTAGATGGGAAGGGTCTGGAATCGACGCCAGCCGAGGGAGAAGATCAAAGGATCATTGGTCTTCAAGATCTTCTTGTGCCAGCGGTGCCTCTTGATACGGATTTGAACGTATCCAAATCTATCTTCCGTGGGTGCCAGTCCACCGACAATCACCGGTAAGCGAGGGTTGAACTTGGTGGCGAATTCACAGGGGACGTTCTCCAGGACAATACGAGCGTAAGTGCCCGCCTTGAAACCTTCGGCACGAGCCCTGGACGCAGGATCAAGAGAATCGAACTCGGCGCGATTGATGTCGAGCTGCTTCTGGAGCTTGGCTTTCTGCGCATCATACCAGTCATCCTCACCGAATTCATCTTCGGCCCCTCCGCCCTCTTGTCGAGACTTGTCTTTGGAGTTTCCGAATCCTTCCCGGTCTTCCTCTTCGAAACGTAACCTCAACTCCTCTTTCTTCTTTGCATTGCGCTCACGCTCGGCATCCAGGTCGATAGGGCCTTCCTCCTCTTTTTCCTCATCTTCACCGTCACTTCCGTCTTCAATCCCGTTGAACACTTCGCCGGATTCCAAATCTTCATAATCACCGTCTCCTTCGTCATCTTCATCAAAAGCGTCATCGACATCCGAATCATCCTCGTCATCTCCCCCGGAGAGTCTGGCAGTGGTAAATCGGGCCCGTAACGACTCGATCAGATCATCGTCCTGCCATTTCTGCTCCAACGCTTCGTAGTCATACTCAGGAACAGCGCGAAATTCCGATAGCTCGTATTGTTCGGCATTTGACTTCTTGAGGAACCCTCCTTCTTCTTCATCTGACTCTTCTTCTGCTTCGCCATCATCGTCCATGCCAGACCATCTTCGGATCACGTCGGTGGGTGTGATGGATTCGTCGTACATCATACGGGATAGGTCGGCAACGCGATACTTCGGGCGCTTCGAATGGAGGGTGCGAGCGTGGTCGGACATATTTTCTTTCCATCGGAGCGCTCCTTCATCCTCGTCGGCATCATCCTCGTCGGCATCATCCTCGTCGGCATCATCCTCGTCGTCCTCGTCTTCGTCATCCTCTAAGTCTTGGTCTTCAACAGAGGATACGGAGCCAAGATCAGAATCACTGTCGGCGAACTCGATGTCTGCCTGGTCGGGGCGGACTTTGCCATCCTGCTTCTCCTTGAAGGAGGCCTCGAAGTCGGCAGGTGCTGACGCATCAGCGTCCTCTTCATCGCTGTCCTCCGCTTCATCTTGATCCAAATCCTCGTCTTCCTCGTTATCGGCGCTTTCGAATCCTTCGTCTTCGGATGATACCTTTTGATCCTCCTCTCCATCCAAAAACCGTACCGATCTCTTATGCTTCCTTCCAACGTTCTCATCCTCGTCATCGGGATGATCAATTGCTCCACCACCGCTAAACAGGCGAACTCCGCCGTCAGCTTCACCGAGCAATTTTCGTTCGCCCTGCAGGCCGAGAACCATCTGCTCTCCAAGGCCGCGGTCCTCGTCATCGGAATCATCCTCATTCCGTTCGAAGTTATTGGTCTTGACATCAATGTAGACAGCGTCCTTGTCAACAAGAACACCGCCAACATCTGACATAGGTGCGAAGAGTAGCTTTGACTTCTCTCCCAGTCTACGCTTGCTCGCTTTCCCTGCCTCTTTGGCAAGCTGTTGGTCCATGAACGGTGTCGGGCACGGATCAGGAAGAGATTCAATGCCGGCCACCGTCATGTCGCCAACACCAGGGACATGGACTCGGGCTCCGTAGGCGGGAAAGTTCGTGCCCCTGAGATATCCGTAGAGGGCGACGGTCCGATCACACTTCGGGTCCTCTTCGATTTCAGTGGGCGGTGTGATATCCAAAAATCGGTCCGCAAGCGCATACGGATGAGAATTGCGCCAGACCAAAGGCCGAGGATTTTTCATGACGGAGAGGAAACGGGAAAGGTTGTGCACCTCGCGATCGGGGTAGCGGCCGTTAACGACACCGGAAAGGTAGAAAAGCTTGGCGCCGTTGTACAGTTCGCTCCAGAAACGGTGCTTCAGGCGCTTTTTGGCGGCTTGTAGAGTGCTCTGTTTCTTGAACAGGTCGAGATGCGTAAGAATACCGAAAACGTTACCCGGCATACCGCTGGAGGCCAGAACATTCAAGAATTCCATGGTTTCCATCTCAAAGCCATAGTTGCCATCGATCATGAGAAGCACGATATCCGCGATTTTGGCGATGTCGATCATGCTCGCGAGCGAATCCGAGGGTGATTCGAGGAAGGTCAGTCGTCGTCGCTTAGATGTGACGACGGTCAGCGGCCCTTGGATTGTGCTCAAGGACTGCTTCGTGTACCGCCGAATCAAAGACTTGATGAGCGTGGTTTTCCCGACCTGTGAAAAGTGCACCTGTTAGACATATCTGATCGAGAGAACTTCACTGTGGAATGCTGAAACTTACCCCCGCGGGTCCGACCACCGCAACAATGAGAGGCGGCGCCTCTTCAGGAATACGGTCGACCAAGGGTACATGGAGTCGTTTCTCTTTGATCTGAACGAAGCGTGATATTAGCGGCCAAGTCCCATTAACCAATTCCAATCTCAGGTGCACATACATCATCCGATCGCGCGCCCTGTCGGTTCAACTTTCCGGGATTCGCGTATGCAAAGGCTTTCGGATTTGAGCCTGGATCAGAAAAGACGGAGTTAGCCTGAAGACCGTACAAAAAGACATGGGGCGACGTTGGATATTTTTGCGACTGAAAAGCATCAAACTAGAAGTGCCTTCACATACCTTCATACTTTTTCTTCTCCTTCGCAGGCCGATGGCTCCTGTTTGACTGGTCCATGATTAAGACGAAAGGTCACCGACCTTTCGATAGACCCCTCCTGCGCGAAAATAAAAATTTAACGAGAAATCAAAGCGTCGACAGGGTGTTTCGCTCGACTTGTAGCTATGTAGCTCAATCCTAAAATTATCATTGCCATTTTCTTTCTCGGCGTCGAGTTTATCCGCGCCGCCATCTCCCCGGGCAAAAAAAAAAGTTTCTGCTGGGAAAAAGTAATTCCTGAGCCAGGGACCACGCTACTCCATATCTGGAAGGTGCTTATCGATAAGGGTCCTTCCACCGTATGGAGGGAGCATCACCAGCAAGAAAAAGCCATCAGGTGTCAACAAGGGAAGAGCCTTGCCAAATCGCCATATTTGCCTATCAGATCTTTTAACAAGTCGGAACTCCGAGTTGTGTGGTTAATAACACTTCGGTATTCGACTTTTTGACATCTCCTGCGAATCTATAGGCGGCATATCACATATACAAGCAGAGGTTGACGAGATGTTACAAAAGCGGCATAAACCAGACCTAGGCGGATGGTCCTCACGCCGTGGCTACATTATCCTGTAGATATACTGTCCGCAATCTGACAGTAGGAATTGTTTTAGAATATCAAGCCGCAGTTCTAAGGTTGAATGCAGAGTTCAACTACGGTGTATAGTTATGCTCCAAGCGGCGCTACCCGTCATCTGATTGTATAGTTCAGTTTCTTCGATAGCTTCAACTTGTCATTGTATCCAGTGTTGTTATATCAAGTAAGAGACCATTTTAGTTTAGCTGACATCTTCACTTCTATGATATTGTCTAGAAAAGCCTTAAGTCAGTCTTTCTTTTGGCGAAGGCAGCTAGAACCGAGTTGTTGGCTGGTAGGTTTGGCAAGGGATACCACGACCAACGTTCGAGGTCAGGCTTTCAAAAGAACACAGGGATACATGAGATTATGCAAGATATGGTAGCCATGGCCATCAAACTTGATAGTTATCTCCCAAGGTCTATCCCTCCCAAGTGGGGGTCTCGCATTTGGTATACCCCAGCTCTCGGGTTCTAGAGTGCCATTGGGTCAAAAAGGCCACTGTATCTGTTTTTCAAGTAGACAGACACCCCGAGACTAAGCATTGGAATAAAAAATTGTAGGTGTTAGACCTGCCATTGAGAATCCAGCCCGATATAGTAGCGCGCTGGATAGATAGAGGTATCCGGTCGTTCTTTCCAACACATACAAAGTGACTAGTATCAATCAGACGATCACCTGATCCGCGGTTGGGTGGGTGGGTAACACGTGACTGCCCCGCCTTGGTGGGATATCGTCATCGGCGGATCCCCGCTGGCATCATAATGCATCAACGTGGGTAGGTGACGTTGTAAACACTGCCACCTGTCCACAGCCACAGTCAATCAAGGTTACAAGATTTTACCGTGGGGTATCACTTTGAAGGTATACTTGCTTATTTGACAGGTTAATAAAGCAAATATTAGGCAGTAATATTAACAACCTGCTTATCAGTGAGTGCCCAGGTATCAAGTGGTAGAAGACCGCAGAAACTGTGGTTAACTCAAAGTCAAGATCACCATCAGACTGCTGGAAATGGCGCGATTCTAGGAGAATAGACATCTGTAGTAGTATAAAACCGGCAAAGCCACTACCCAAACACCTTTTCCAACCTCGTCCCGTCTCTTATCAGCTCTAGATTGGAGTCATCCCCGCACTGGTAGCAGCCTAGATACTACTAAACCACGACTACTTGTTGTACCTACCCACCTGGACTCTTATAAGATCCGCTCCTTTCCCACCTGCCGAAACACAGCCTTTTCCAACTTCCGACTCCGTCTACCTCCTTTTTCTTCTTACACCCTCTAAAGGACCGCACCGTGTTTTTCCTCTCAACGATATTCAAGTCACTTCGTCCTCTACACACCCCCAAATTTTTTATTAATCGCTCGATATCGTCTCACCCACCGTCAAAAATGACTCTCTACAACGTTTGTGGCGCCCCTATAACTACTCACCAACCCCGCTTAGAATAGAATACTAACTTAGCGGTCTGGCAGGTTACCCTCAGGAAGGATGCTCCCCCTGAGGAACTGGAGAAGTGAGACACCCTTGAATCCTATCCGATCGACGACCACTGACCTTGGGTTTCTCATAAAAATAGAGCAAAGGAGCAGGCGAAGAAGGAAGGTGGCGATATCAAGCACGAGTTCTCCCTGATCAAAGGTTTCACGTAAGACTACCCTCTGTTTTGGTTCGTGGGATTGGGTCCACGCCAAACCCTGCAGCAGTAGAATTTACTGACCCTCCAAAAGTGTTGAATACCCGGCGGATGCCGTTCGCGCTCTTGACACAAACCAGCATGTCCATGTTGAGCAGGATGGTGAAATGAAGACCCAGGTCTAAACCGCTAAGGGACACGGTGTATTGGAGGGTTCTGCTTCAGATACGTTCCTCTCGACTTGGCAGAGCCATCAACCACTCCATCCCTGGAAATATGACCCTGTATGGACTATGGCAGCCGACTGATATGTACGACTTATGAATATTATTTCTTACAAGCCAAACCCCGCACCGCCGAGTATGTCCTGCAAAGCTTCGGATACTCGGCTCGGGTACATTGCTCAATCTAGAGACAGTAGCAATTCCAAAGGCTATTTGCTAAGATTGTTTGTGGACGATAAACATCCTTGAATAACCATCCGGATAATTAATTCCGTAGTTCTATCTCAATCTTTGTTGATGTACGGAGTACTCTGCAATAATATGGATACTGCAGTGTGTATCAAGTAGTACGGCGGCTGTCCCACCGAAACTAGCCAGTCCTACTACTGCAATCAAAAATCGGCTAGCCGCGGCAGGCGTTTGTAATATCGATTGGGCTTCATGTATGCCCAACCTTGAGAGTCAAGATAGTTAGAGCACACAGATCTGCGGTCTGCAATTACTCCGTTTGTTGCCGTGCGTGCCCTTTGCGCGTCGAATCCCAGAGCGGGATAGCGCCCACGTGATGACGGTGACTGCGGCGATCTCCCCCAATCAACCGATCGTTCAACCGTCATATGAATGGGGCTCGGAGAGATGCTGTTAAGCCTCCCACATTCTTTGACCCGATCACCTCAGCGTGTCGCAGGATGTCTGATATCGACTATGGCCATACACAAGGCTCTCCAGACCCTGTCTGCGAGATGCGCCATCCGGCGTAATGTTATTTCGCCAGGGATTGTCCGCCAAACGCGACGGTTTTCAGCCTCTCCTGGGTTCCGTCGTGCAACACCTTCCTACCCCTTTGCCCATGGAGCGAACGATGAGGTCGCACGCCTGGCGTCTAGCCGTCGACGTCCACTGACATTGGCTGATTTGCTCAAGTGAGTGTGAAACTGGAAGAAATGAAAGCGATCAGATGGACTAATGCCGCTCTCGATGTTGTTCAGACACGGACGCCCACCGTTGTCGAAAGATGCGCTTCTGGCTTCGGCGAATTTTACACTTTCCCTCCTCCCAGCCCGACTGGCATCTCGAATTGAAGCACTGCGAAACCTACCGTTTATCATCGTCTCGAACCCCCATGTGTCGGAAATCTACAATAATTACCTCCACTCGCTGTCGACCTTGCTGCCGTATCAGAAGCGTCAGGTCACAACCTTGGAAGAAGAGAACCAGTTTGCAGAGGTACTCGCAGACCTTGTAGATACGCACTCCAATACGATCCCGGTCCTTGCTCGCGGTTTTCTGGAGTGCCGAAGGTACATTGATCCGGCTGAAGTGACCCGGTTCCTCGATACCCACCTGCGCGCGAGAATCGGCACCCGCCTCATTGCCGAGCAGCATCTAGCGTTGCATTTTGCCTCGCAGCCAGACAAAAATGGCGACGAAAGCGCTCGGGAACAGTTCAAAGGCCCTGCTCCGTCGAATTATATCGGGGTGATTGATACGGCTCTGCAACCAGCGCGCATCGTGCGGACATGCGAGGATTTTGTGGGAGAGATCTGTGAACTCAGATACGGTGTGCGTCCACGGGTGAAGATTGACGGGCAGGAGAGCGCCTCTTTTGCGCATGTGCCTGTGCACATAGAGTACATTCTCACTGAACTGTTGAAGAATGCATTCAGAGCTGTCATTGAATGCGGGAATGAACGGGAACCCATCGAGGTCACCATCGCTGCCGCCCCGGATGTACCAGCGGAGCGCCGACCGCTACCTGCAAGGTCGACACCGCAAGATGTCGTCCAGTCCGATACCGATGTGGGCATCCAGATGGACACCGTTGTCGGGACTGCTGACGCAAACGAGTCCATTAAGCATTCAGCACCGTCGTCGCAGAGCATCACGATCAGAATCCGGGATAGAGGCGGCGGGATTCCCCCAGAGGTCGTACCCAATATTTGGTCCTACAGCTTTACGACTTTCGCAGAACATGAGATGGACTCGGATAATGGCAACATGGATGCCCTTAACACGATCTCAGCCAACAGTGGCCAGTTGAGTAGTATTGCGGGACTTGGATACGGGCTTCCTCTGAGTAGAGCCTACGCAGAGTACTTTGGGGGCAGTATTGCCGTCCAGAGCCTTTGGGGTTGGGGGACCGATGTTTATTTAACTCTACAAGGGGTTGGCAGGGTCCGATAATGACCTACATTTTCGCATCTACACATCTTGTACACTACCCAATCACTAGTACATCGCTGTAATATTACTATGGTCGAATGGTCTCATCGTTCCACTTCCTCCACACCAGCAGACCGGGTCTACAGCCGTGAATTCGCAGACGTCCCGCGAGAGAAGAGGTCAACAAATTCCACAACACCCAGATCGTCCTGTTCAACAGCCTTCAAGACCTCCTCGACCTCCCCATCAGTAAACATAAGACGCATATTCTTCCAGAACTTCTCCCGAACAGCAGCCGCCGTCGCAGGGTTCTTAACATGACCAACAGGATACTCCACCAACACCTCAGGCAAGACAGTACCATCACGCAGACGAACCGTCACCCCGGACCCAATACTCTTCTTATCCAGATCCAGATAATCCGCCGTCAGCCCTTCATCCACCACCACAACCACCCTCCCCCTCAAAGCCTCCAGCTCCGCACTCGTCGCCCAGGGCCCAACATCCCAATAATCCTCCACCTCAGGAGGCGCACCCTTCAACAAAGCCAACGCAACAACAAACTGCAAACAATGGTCCCTATCCGCCGCATTCTTCAACACACCAGTCTTACTGATAATCATCTCCGCCGCTCTCGTCGTCCTAACCTCAACCACCTCAATCCCATCCACTCCCCCCTCCCTCCCTCTCAACCTCCCCCCCTGCACCAAAGCCCCCTCAACAGCAGCAACAGCATGCCCCTCAACAGGCACAATCTTAAACAACACATTCCCCACAGTCCAGCACCCCAACGCCCTCGGAAAGTCAAACCCCCGCTCCCCAAACGTCCTCTCCCAAAACCCAAACGGCCTCGCCGTCAAAACCCGCGGAATCCCACCCTGCCCGGCCTTCACCAGCAACGCCAGATGCACCGCCCGCATGCACGCATCACCCGCCGCCCATCCCTTCCTCGACACCGTATTCGCCGCAGAGCGATAAACACGACTAGGGTGTCCGTCCGCCCAGACGTGCGAGATTACAGCGCAGGTCTGCGCGTGCGTTAGGCCCAGCAGCCAAGATGTGGCAGCCGCAGAGGCGAGTTTCACAAGAATAACGTGGTCGATGCCGAAGGCGTTGAAGGCGTTGCTCATCTGGTAGACGCCTTGGATCTCGTAGGCTTTGATGAGGGCTGTGAGGAGGGTGCGCATTGTGAGAGGGGGGTCTGTGTGTTTGTGTGGCTTGGATTGTGCGAGCCAGGCCATTACGGGGAGGATGGCGCCTAGATTGTCTTTTGTGGTTGCATCAATTGGGCTCGCGCTCTCGCTCTTGTGGTTAGGCCTCTAGATTTCAAAAAAAACGAGGGTGGGGAGGTAAAAGGGTAGGAGAGATAGGTGCATACCAGATGGATGCCCCCATTCCTTCCCCCCTAGCGCATCATTATGATCAAGATACCTAATCAAGGTACCCATATCGAAAGCCCCTTTCACGGGGTCAACAGTATGTGCTGTTCCCGGTACGCGGAATCCATTGGGCACAACCGTGCCCGGGACCGGAGGGGCGAGCATTGCGCGGCAGTCGGGGCTCTTGGATGCTGTTTCGATGGCACATCCTATGGCGTCGAGGAGGGCTGTGCGGGCGGAAGTGAATGCTGAGGGGTCTGTTATTTGGTGGTTGTGGATGTAGTCGGCTAGGGCTGGGATGGGGGCGTCGTAGGACATCTCGTGTTGTGTTGTGCTGTGGAGTGGTTGGATGGTTGGTGCTGAGGGAGGTTTGGGTGGGATGGTGGGATGATGTGAATTGGGTTGGGGACAGGGAGGTCATGAAGAGTTGGGCTTTGGAAAGATGGTTTCACCTTTGGGATAAATATACCGAGTTTATGGGAAATGCACCGATGGCCAGCTTGAATTTGAGAGATGGGTACAAGCCCTTGGTACCCAAGGAAGATGAGGACGCTGAGGGACGATGATGATTGACTGTATTTACTTTGTCTACAATAAATACCCAGGAGACCAATTCCCACTAACCGCTTTTCACCTCCACTATGTTTCCATTGCCACATATTTGAAGTATAGATTCATACAAAGGCACTGATATGACTCAAGCGCCAAGCGGCAAGTCGAGAAGATGCAGTGTATCAAACTAATGCATGAGACACAACCCCACTCGATTTGTCTGTCGTGTCACACCTACGCGAGAACATATGTCGAGGGAAAACCCAAGTGATAGCCTTCTTCATCTATCTACAGCTTCATTCCACGCGTATTCGCCTGTACAATATGTCACATACCCGCATCATATCCCAAAAGTCTCAGGATGCTCGAGTCCGCTCAAGGACTAGATAGGGATACTCCCGCCTAAAGGCTGCTCTTCTGCACATACTTCCCCATCGTACCATCCAACTGCGCCTCCAAAACAGCAGCCGTCCCACTCTGCACGCTCCTAACAGCCTCGGGCAATAACCTCCCGAGCTCAGCAACAGTAGCAGCACGACCAGCCCACACGGTCCCACCAGACGCCGCCTTCGCGATACCCGCATAATCCGGCGAGGGCGCAAACGAGATATTCAAATCCTCGTTGGTCGCACGGGAGCCGTCTCCCTCGGGGTGCACGAGAAGCATGCTGCGCCGGGGCGCGTTCCAGCCCTTATTGTTCAGCACGATGGTCAACACGGGGATATTGTACCTCTTGGCAATCCAGTAGACGGACCCCGGGACGGAGAAGAGGAAGGTGCCGTCGCCGACGACCTGGCAGACGAATTTGCCCTTGTTGGTGCCGCCGTGCTGGATGTCAGTCGCGAGCTTGATTCCCAGCGCGCCGCCGCCGGACCAGCCCAGGCCGCCGCCGCCGCAGTTGATCCAGGAGTTGGGATAGGTTGCGGCGATTTGGTCTGCGACCAGTGTGCTGAGTGTCACGGCTTCGATGGCCCAGATTGTGTCCATTGGGCAGCCTTGTCGGACCTGTTGCATGAGATATGATGCATTTAGCGGGGCGGTGGCGCCGCCTGCGGGGACGACGGCGAGGTTTGCGGTGGCTTGGCGCTGTTTCTTGTATTCTTCGCGGCGGCGGCGGCCGCGTGCGAGGGTCTCTGGGGAGGTGGCAAGGTCTCGGAAAGAGGGGTTGGAGGCAACGTATTCGTTGATCTGCTTGAACGCGGTGGCGGACTCGGCGCGGAAAGTCGCCGAGGGATTGATGTAAAAGACGGGCATCTGCTGCTTGAGCGGATCAACATCAACGTGAATGATCTTTGCCGAGTCAGACGGTTTGCACTGGGTTGGGATCCAAGGGACATCGCAGTCCGCCACGAGGATGAAATCGGCCGTTTTGATGGCCTCGTGGTTTCCGTATCGCATGCCCAGAGAGGCTGGGTGATCGCCAGGGAAGCACATATCGCTACCACCGGTGTCCAGCACACGGAGGCCCTTGAATGTATCAGCCAGATTGACCAGCTCCTGAACACCTCGTGCATTTCGACCGGAGTAGCCAACGATGGCCAGAGGCTCCTTTGCGGCAGCGAGCTCGGAAGCGATTAATTCCACGCCCTCCGACGGCAGGGCGGACGGCGCAACGGGGCCCCACACATTTGCATCAACCTTGTAGGGGACGAGCTCTTCCTCCATAATCTCCCGTGCGCCGCACAAATAAACCGGTCCCTTGGGGTCACTGGTAGCGAATTGCAGGGCGCGGTTGACCATTTGCTTGACGTTCTTGCCCGACTTGATCTCCCCGGAGTACCGGCAATACTGGGAAACGATCTGCTTCTGGTCGGGTACATCTTGAATCCAATGTATGTATTCCGTGCGGGAACCGCGCATTTCCCCTTCGATGGTGAAAGGGGACAGCCCGGCAAAGATCAGAACTGGCGCTCGACCGCAGGAAGCGTTATGCACGGCGGCGGCTAGGCCCTGGGTGCCGACGTCGACATGGACTATGACACACTGCGGCTTGCCCGTCAAGCGAGCATAACCATCTGCCATGGACAGTGCCACCATCTGTGGAGATGGAGTTAAATGTGGGGTTAGCCGAAGGTTCAAGCAGGAACAGCCGACGAAGTCCGAGATGCTGCAAGCTCTGGGTTAAACTTAGCACGGACATTGACCGACTTACCTCATTAGGACAGGTGATGATTTTTGGAAACTCATTTGGCTTTTCTTTTTGACCTTTGACCATAGCCTCGAGGATTGAGGGATGGTCAGAGCCCAGGTTAACGAAGGCATGAGTGACCCCAGCCTAGAGCCAGTTAACTCGGTGTCCCAACACAAATAAGCCCGAACCAGGAGATCTCATGGACATACCTCCCATAGTGCCTCGAAAAAGGCGAACGATGCAGTATATACCCTGCCTGCGTCTTAGCGTTGTTGCATTTGGAAATATCGGGAACTTGAGGAACCCCAACAATATGGTTCACCACATACATTATAAGTCAAATTACAGACTGTCGTGGGAAGAGAATGGCGAGTAGTATGAAGAAGAAGAAGCAGGATAGAAACAGTTAAACGGGGAAGTTGAATCCTCTTTAAGCTTCATCAAGTAGTGATACTCGAGGATCGGCCTTAACCCCGAGGCACCCACTGCACTAACCCTTACCGAGTCGTCGGACGAATTCCGCTGCTATGCGGGGTCGCTACTTGGACTCCAACTCTAACACAAAGAAACACTCTTTGTTGTGCTAACCATTTGAGTTATGAGCTACTGGCTGTTGGATACGGGTAATTCAATACGCACTGGGTGGGATTTACCATGCTGGTCCATTTATTCGCCTCGTGGTGGTGCGATCCACTGTTTTATTGTGTAGTCCAAATGCAGTACGGCCGTTTTCGTGACATATTACTATAAGGGTCTATGGATCTAGAGTACGGTGGTATCGCCCAACACAGCTATTTAGTTGTACCTTCAAAAAACCCCCAATGCCTTCCTATATAGTACACCTATCCCAGATTTTGGCAGTCTCTTTCCTAGTAAAATTTCAAAAAAGAAAAACAGACGGAGATACAGAGGTAGAACATAAACATCATGTCAAGCCGACAGAGAATATCAAAAGTTATCTTTCACAGAAACACTGTCAACATCAGTTCCAATACACGTGCCATTGTCATGGCAATGTGATTGAAGAGCCTCCAGTGCAAGCTCTTCGCATCCCATGAGGACACTCCGTTTCCCAGATGGGATTCCTGTGACTAGGATGTCTTTTGCCTTATTGAAATGTCTCATCACATGGATTTTTGAGACATACCCCAACCATCAATGCGCCCTCCCCTTGGTTCTCAAATTCATGAGAAATAAACCCTCTCAGATGTTGAAGCCCTAATGAGATCGTAGAAAACTTAGGTAGACCATGAAGTTTGCATTAGTTCACAAGCAATGAAATAGGTGCAGCAGTCGCAACTTTCCCTACGTTTTCTGTATCCTATGAGATTGAACGCACTGTTGAACAATTTACGAAATCTTATCTATATTTTGTCGTGTAGGGAGACCGCTTCCCCTCATGATCAGAACAATCGAACAGAGAAGCGGCATGGGGCAGCCGTACAGAACAGCGGCACGACGCACCAAGTTTAACCTGGGGGCTTGTACAAAAGAGAAGACGGTTTTATTTGTTGTGAACTCGATAGCCATAAATCAGTATTAAAATATCAGTCATACCAAGCCCGACTCAATACCGATTCGGTATTTGGGACACTTGAAATCGGACAAAATTCGGAGGGATGCGGAAGAACGCATAGAAAAGATGACTCATCATAATAGACCTATCTAATCGCTTATCAGTCGCTATCAGTCGGCAGTGTTTACCGCCGACCCCAGCCTCCCTCGGTTGATTCCAAATAAAGCCGCGCATGCTGGTGGTCTTGGACGGCAATCTTGACCCTTCATTCATTCATCTCATTGTCCGTTATCATTATGCGGACTTCACTATTTAAGCTTGCGAGCCCCCTTGTGCTGCTGGGGGCAGAAGTGGGTGCCTTGCAGATCCCTCTCATCCAATGGGAGCGATTCTCTGGGTCCCAAGCTCCCTTGGCTGACAAGGAGCTGGTCAGTTCCTCCGCATTCCAGGCAAAGGTTCATGCCGAGAACTTGTTCGAGAGAGCCAAAGATCTGTACAAGATTGCGGAGCTGGGAGAGAGCGAATACGGTCATCCCACTCGAGTCATCGGAAGTAAAGGTATCGTCACTAGCAATGTGAGGTCAAAATCGTGATACTGCCCTTACTAAGACAGTGTTTAGGACATCTTGGGACCATTGACTATATCTATTCGACGCTGATCAACTTGGGTGACTACTATACCATCACGAACCAGTCGTTTCCTGCTGTGGCGGGTGATGTTTTTGAGTCGCGCCTTGTGCTTGGCCATGAAGTACCCAAATCGGCACAGCCAATGGGACTGACACCTCCGACTAAACACAAGCAGCCCGTGTACGGGTCAGTGGTAGCTGTGTCTAACTTTGGTTGCGACGCATCGGATTACCCGTCTAATCTAGAGGGCGCTGTCGCTTTCATTAGCCGGGGTGACTGTCCGTTTGGCACCAAGTCAGAACTGGCCGGCAAAGCCGGCGCGATCGCGGCGGTTGTATATAACAACGAAAAGGGTTCCGTCAGTGGCACGCTGGGAACACCGACTCCCGACCATGTGGCTACATTTGGTATATCCGATTCCGATGCAGCCCCGATTCTGAAACAACTCGGAAAGGGTGAAAAGGTCGACGCTATTGCCTACATGGACGCGGTGGTCGAGAGGATCCTCACCACGAACATCATTGCCCAAACCACGGAAGGCGATCCCGATAACTGCGTGATGCTTGGTGGTCATAGTGACAGCGTGGCGGAAGGTCCCGGCATCAACGACGATGGCTCTGGTAGCCTTTCTCTTTTGGAGCTCGCCACGCTTCTGACCAACTTCCGAGTGAACAACTGCGTGCGCTTTGCATGGTGGGCTGGGGAGGAAGAAGGCCTGCTGGGTTCCGACTATTACGTCTCAGTTCTCTCAGCTGAGGAGAACCAAAAGATCCGGCTTTTCATGGATTATGACATGCTCGGCTCGCCAAATTTCGCATACCAGGTCTACAATGCTACCAATGCGGTCAACCCTGTTGGCTCGGAGGAGCTGCGCGATCTCTACACCGACTTCTACGAGGCACATGGGTTTAATTACACATACATTCCATTTGACGGACGTAGCGATTACGATGCGTTTATCAGACATGGTATCCCTGGCGGCGGTATTGCAACTGGCGCCGAGGGAGTCAAGACGCCAGAGGAAGAAAAGATGTTCGGTGGCCACGCTGGAGAGTGGTACGACCCATGCTATCACCAGCTATGCGACAACATCGGAAACGTAAATCTGACCGCATGGGAGTTGAACACAAAGGTACAGAGACACGAACACCTTTCTTGGGGTTGATGATAACCCAGGCTGACCAAATTGCCTTGTAGCTTGTGGCGCACTCGGTCGCGACCTACGCTCAGTCCTTTGACGGATTCCCGGAACGCATCGAGACGACAGCCAACGCACTCTTCGATGCGACACCGATGAAATACCACGGTCCTTCCCTTGTAAAGTAATCAACAGTGATGGGATCTCCCCCTGCTCGATGACCAGTGGGTCCAAGTTGTGCAAGGATCTGTGGATAAGGTGAGGCAAATCTAGAAGTTTGGTGGCACCACCCCTGTACCCTAGCCCCCCGCAGAGTGTCAATAGTTGCATCCAAACAGATCAGCCTCCTTCACAGCAGCCAATTGCAAGAGAGTAACAAAGAAACCATGTTATTTTGTGGGACGGGTTCAGTTTGCGGCGCAAAACCCTGCACCGAGTCCCAACAAGCACGAGCTTTTCGCGCTGTGTAGCCGTAAATTCTTTGTCCATGAAATTGGACTTTCCAAGGAGAAATACCCCATCACACTGGTGTAAAACAGAGAATAATAAGCATGACATTGAGTGGGTCTTTAGGAGATCGATCCATCGGCACTAGTGAGTGACAGCAACAAAGACCCGTTGAGCTGGCAGGGTTGCCCTTGTGGAATATGCAACTCTGCCCAGTTGTGCTGGACTGTGCGCCTCCGATCTAGATGCTTGAAGCTTACTGGCTAATCAGGCTTCGAGTCACCTACGAAAACAGGTGGTATTATGAATGAGGTTCCACAGTTCACAAGCCATGGCTTTTTGGATATAATAGTCTGGGCAATTACTGCTAACTAGTACCTACCAACACTGAGTCTCGGTCGTTGAGGGCACAGGTAGATCTAAAAGTGAATTACCCGATCTAAAGAGGGAGCAAAGAGACGAGGGCGAGAAGCAATACCATGGTTCGACAAGGTAGAGCGGGGCTTTACTTACAAGGCTGTGGTTATCGAGGGTGAAGCTTTCACAGTGAATGCTACCATACCTTATATACTATTTTCCCTATATTATGGTCTGACAAACCCAAATAAAAAAAAAGGCACGACGAGCATTTGCCATATGCTTCTGTACTGCCTATCTGCCAGACGTTTGAGTTCTGAAACGCTCGATATAAGTGACGATGTCCTTACTGCAATTGCCCAGCGAATTGATACTACACATCGTTGATTTCCTTTACGCCGAAAGAGACATTAATGCCCTGGTACAAGGCAACAGACACCTCTACGACCTTTTAAACCCCTCCCTCTATCGCCACAATGTCCAACACCGACAAAGCTCAGCCCTAACCTGGGCCGCCGCCAAAGGGCAACTCCCAACTCTCGAGAAGCTCTTCGACGAAGGAGCGCAAATCATCACAACGCTACCAGTATGCCCAGAAGAGAAGAACGACCTGCCATCAAAGCAGCCCACCATACGTCGAGACCACGATTCTCAAATCCCAGATCACCCCATCGTCCACGCAGCCCTCCACGGCCACGCGACAATCGTCGAAGCTTTACTCCTCAGAGGCGCACATCCAGACTGGACAGACCGCCGCAGTCAAACTCTGCTAATGATAGCCGCCAACAAGGGGCACGTGGCGGTAGTGCGAGTATTATTACAGCACGGAGCAGACCCGACACGACCTGATGTCCTAAACGCGACCCCGATTACCATCGCCGCACTGCGAGGCCATACCGCCGTCGTGGAGGCGCTGATAGAGCACTTGGAGCAACACCACACGACTGTTATGCCAGATACACAAAACCAGGCAATCGTCTACGCTGCGCTCAGCGGCCACACAACGCTCGTCCGGTTCCTGCTCGACCGCGGCATCCCCGTTAACACCTCGGGACGCGTCAACTCGCACACACCGCTCTTCTACGCCGTGCGGCGGGGAGACGAGGCCTTGATACGCTTGCTTCTGGAACGGGGCGCTAATCCGCTGTACATCCCCAGCGAGGGCAGCAAATCGCCGTTGGTGTTTGCAGTTGGGTATTGCGGTAATGAGATCGTCAGCCTGCTACTGGAACAATGTGCGGATCTGGGTACGGAGGGGATTAAGGCGATGCATGCGGCTGTTATTAGAAATAATGCGTGGCTGGTGGAGAGGCTCATTGTGCGGGGTGTGGACCCTGCGTCTAAAGATGAGCATTTACATCGACCTTTGATATCGTGGGCGGCGGACTTGGGGTGTTTGAACATTGTTAGACTGTTTTTGGAAAAAGGGGCTGATGCGAAGGCCTGTGATCCTGGTGGTTTGATGCCTGTGGATTATGCTTCTAAACGGGGGTATACGGCATTGGTTCAGTTGTTGGAGAATTATGTATCGATGAAGCCTTGATGTTACTGGGTTCTTTCAAGCGCAGTTGGATGTTATGGGTCATGGGGTTTGGATAGGATGTGGCGCTCAAGGGGAGATCTATTGGTAGTCTTTTTTCGGGTTGTATTTAGTCGAGTCTTGAGTGATACCTGCCTAGCAGTATTGGAAAAGAAAAAAAAAGAATTGCCACTTGGTTACAAAATGTGCCATGACGCTTTGGGCCTTCGTAAGTAATCCTATCTCAGTACGACACCTAGTAATAGTACTGCATTATCAAGAAGGGATGATAAAGCGTCGCACTAAATATAAGATTGCTCGCGAAGCTCAACAGTGTCATGATATCTTTTGCAACCGAGTGGTAGCTGTTGCCATATAAAGTCTACTGCTGAGCTGCGCATTCTTAAGAAAACAGGGATTCGGACTCGCTTGTAGAGAGTAAGTACTACATAACCATAGACTGATGTTCTATTTATATCTCCAGATATCTCAAAGCAGCCCTCAACTCATATTTGCTAGCTTGCTGGGTGGATTAACGAAGGGGGGAGTGATGGAACACACGAAATGAATTCTAGTCCAACATTGTCGTTCCTGTCCGAAATTATTACTAGACATGGCCTAGACGCTCCCTACTGACAAAGCAGAATAGATATAAGTAGTTAGTTAGTTATATCTTATGCGAACTCGTCATGAGACCTCCAAGCGATGCTGGAGTAGCAACCACTATAAACATGACGCGGATAACCTTGCGCCGATGCCGGCGATAGCCTTATCTAGGCGCGCGGGGTTGATCGGAGTCTGCCGATAACAGCCCTTTTGACAACCAGGACTAAACAGAGCTTATTTTCCAAGCCGAGAACACTCTGCAGTATTGTCGCCCTTCATTCGCCCGACATCTATGATTAATATATGTGCCTGTTATGGTTGGCCCGTATATAGCATTATATGCATCAGAGAACCCCAGCAGCCGATGGCGGAGGAATGGTTCCGCCCGGCACATGACTTCCAGAATTCCAGATGTATCCGGGATTACCGTACGGGTGGGACTTTGATCATTCCCCGCGCACACGCCCTGCAGGTGACTACAGTTGCATTGGTTATAGTTACCCAACCATAGACGATGCAGCTCAATGGCTCTATTAGATAACATAAACACCAAGTCGAAGATCAATACCACAAAAGTGATCCTTTAACCGGAGTCTAGTGGGGTGGCCAATGTTGGTCGAACGGATGGCCCGCCCGATAACCACCCACGTTACAAGAGCGGAGGTACCAAATCTTACCTCCGAAAGTGGGCGAGGCGGGAAAAGGATGACTCCGAGTCCATTCGGCTCTTTGCGGTCTTGACTCTTTCACCTATTTTACTTCCGCGCGCCCTTCTTTCAAACCCACGTTGGTTTTTTGGTATTATTTGTCGCTTCTACATTACGCATAATCAGACAATCCTTCCACCACTCTATCTCTTCAAGTGGTAGCTACGTACCACCCGACAATCACAAACAGAGAATGAGTCCTTCAGCCGCCGCGGACGAGGCAAAGGGCCAGCAGTCCGCCACCACGCCATTGACTGTCGATGGCGTCGCTGCACTGAGGGCCAACGGCCCCCAGGTGCCCACTGGCGTTGCTCCTGCTACCAGCAGTGACATGTTTAAAAGTCCGGTATGCTCGCGACTTTTATGCGCAAACGACACAAAGACGACCGCCGAACTGACCACCATTCTGCTTCTTACAGGCGTGCTACACGAAGCCTAAGGCTAAACGTTGGGATCGTAAGCCATGACCCCGCAGTCGATTCGCTGTTCTCTGTCCCGACGGAGCATTGGTTAATTCTCCCCGCTAGACTTCCTCTCCATCGAATCGCAAGCTCGAAAGGTCCGTCCAATTACAAGCACAACGTCTTGGTATACACATGGTGGCTAAAACGAATGGCGCGCATAGGTATCGACTTTGAAGGGTGCTGCGAAATACCTCAAAAACCCGGGTTCGTTGCTTGTGGTCACTCCGTTGGCTCGCCGTCGAAGATCTGCTAACGCCCGTTTTTGAATAGGTCTTATCTCTTTGGGCGGTGGACTCCCGTCCCCGGAATATTTCCCCTTTCAAGAACTCAGCATCAAGGTCCCCACACCGCCGGGGTTCGGTCCTCAAGCGACCCGTGAAAATGGCACCGTTCTCACCTCGGCCAAGGGCGATGTCCGGGAGGGGAAGAGCCTGTACGGTCAGTTTTACGCCTAGAATCCACAGTAGAAGCGTGGGTTCTGACTTTCACAGATCTTGAGGTTGCTCTCAACTATGGGCAGGCAGTAGGAGCACCCCAGCTGCTTAGATTTGTGACGGAGCACACGGAGGTATTGTTCCCAGAAGACGCAACTCTCAGTCGGTGATTAACTGAGCCTAGATTATCCACAACCCCCCGTATGCGGACTGGCGATGCTGCTTGAACGCCGGTAGCACCTATGCGTGGGATACGGTACTCAGAATGCTTTGCAACCGAGGGGACTATATCATGATGGAAGAATATACGTTTTCTAGTGCCCAGGAGACCGTTCTCCCGCAGGGTGTCAATGTCGTTCCCATCAAGATGGACGAGCAAGGTCTTCTGCCGGGGTCTCTCGACGATGTACTGAGCAGCTGGGACGAGGCAGCTCGGGGAGCTCGCAAGCCTTTCGTGCTTTACACTATTCCTACTGGACAGAATCCTACTGGCGCGACCCAGCAAGGTGAGCGCCGGAAGGCTATCTACGAGGTCGCACAGAAGCACGATGTTATTATCGTGGAAGACGAACCGTATTACTTCCTGCAGATGCAACCGTACACCGGACCTGACGCGGAACCCGTCCCACCTCCGAAGACCCACGACGACTTCATCAAATCCCTTATTCCATCCTACTTGAGCCTGGACGTCGACGGCCGTGTTATTCGACTTGAATCGTTCTCGAAGGTCCTCTCTCCTGGCTCCCGGACCGGCTGGATCGTTGCCTCGGAACAAATTGTTGAACAATTCGTTCGGAATTGCGAGACCTCCTCCCAAAACCCCAGCGGCTTCTCGCAGATGGCATTCTTCAAGCTTTTGGATGAACACTGGGGTCATACCGGTTATCTCGATTGGCTGATTGATATCCGTCTGTCTTATACCAATCGCAGAGACGCCATGGTCCACGCGTGTGAACAACACCTTCCACGTGAAATTGCCAGTTGGAACCCCCCTGCCGCGGGGATGTTCGTGAGTTACCCCCTCTTTGTATTGGCGCGATAGTTCAGGGGGGCACTAAGCTAATGCAAATATAGCACTGGATTCAACTCGACTGGCAAAAGCATCCGGGTCTGGCATCTGGAAAGACCCGTGAAGCCATCGAGCAAGAGATTTTCCAAGCTGCGGTTGACAACGGTGTCCTCGTCTCGCGCGGTAGCTGGTTTACGGCTTCTGGACTGCGTGAGGAAAACATGTTCTTCCGCGCTACTTTCGCCGCTGCGAGTGCGGAGAGTATCGAAGAGGCTATTAAACGCTTTGGTGATGCCCTGCGGATCCAATTCGGTCTGTAAATATCGGTCTGTAAGTATTGACGATAGGGGTACTTTTTTTTTTCTTATATAGACCGGGGTTTGGTTATCATACCCAGTCCGACAAGTCAGCATTTGAGGTAGCTTATAGTTTGTGGTCTAGATTATCATGAGAAACGGCCCGGCAGAGATGACATTTCTCGGGCAAGGGAAATTGTTTTAGCTTGGTGGTTGGCGTGTGTACATAGTCGCATTGGCAATAGGCTGCTAGCATCTACATAAAATTTCTCTCATTGCCATCATTCGAACAACCATTTGATGTGGTAGTCTCTTTTGCCTTTGTCCTTAGGGTGTTGATGTTTGTAACACAAAGGAATAGAAGGAAACTAGAATAGTACAGACACATAAATTAATTTACTTCAAAACATAGAAGACAAAGGAACAAAATAATCAAAAATCATCTCCGTCCCTCAACCGTGAAAATGATCTTCCGCCGAGATCGGCAGTAACGTGATCCGTCTGGAACTTTAATCGAACGTCCCCTCATCCCCAACCTAACATTACTGCTGCCAATACCTACGGAGTACTACCATTATTCATGCCCTCGGGGAGATACCGACAAACCGGGTTTGTCTCATTTTAGCGACTGCGACTTACGATAAAGATGCATCTGTTGATTTAGGTTTTTTTATGCTCCGCGATTGTGATACCAGATTTTGTTTTTGCGTGTCTAGAATTCATATTCATTTTTTTACATCTTCGTTTCTGCACCGCCTTATTCGACGAGGAGGAGTACATAAGAGTTCGCGGAGATTGCTTGCTAGTAAGTCATAATTGAAGTCTATATTCGAAGTTCTTGAACCCCACGGAAGGCTTGATTCGCACTGTTTTCGCGTCCTCGTTTCCCGATGTTTTGCCATGCTGGAGCTGAGATGTCCACATTCACGTGACCTGGGGATGATCGGTGGACCGTACCTGTTCGATACTTGATATGTTCAATCTTGACCCTATAATGACTCTTCAATTGTCTTTACCATGATGGTGTCAAATGTAAACTTGTCATAGTAGGAATGCTAATTAGGTATGTAGTTCTTCAGACCTCACTATCGCCTTAATCAACGATTTAAGCAAAGATCTTGTCTTGTGACTTACGCCATCACCGAAAGGTCCTCAACTGTGGGATGTATGCCATTACTTTGAGTGACCTCAATTAAGCATATATTGATTGTATGGTTGGCACAGTACTATTTACGCCCTGTTGACATTGGCTACAATGTGCTATTTGCCGCTGAGCTAAAGACATCTGGCTAACACGCTTTTACCATTCTCCCCAAACTTTACAGAATCAACGACTTAATTTTCTCTACATCTCTAGAACAGGCCTCGCATATCTCTGAGACGCCTTTGAGATCCGCGTGCGCCAACTAGGTTTTGACACACCGACATATGTGCCATACCATCTAGTTCAATAGGATCAATCGAGATCCTGCAGCAGACTATTTCTCTGCATCATTCAATATATGCTTGGGAAATATGTGCAACTGAGAGATATCTTACATTCATCTGTTTCTCTCTGTGGATAAGAGCTTTGCGATCCCTGTAAGTATGTCTTTTCGTCCTTCCGCTGCACTTGTACTGATGCAGTCTATACTCACAGGTTCTATGCCAGGTCCTTAGAAATATAGATTACAAAGCAAGGACTGCAAAGCGTACTATTCAGGAATTAGTAGTGAGTGACATATCCCCCACTCATATCATCTTCTGAAACCTCTCGCCACTTTCATTGAAATAGTGGAAGTGTTGTGTAAACACGACTGTCCGCCAGCGGTCCCCAGTTTTGGTGTAGAATAACTCGGGGGGCTAACCATCTTACAACAACGACCCTTATCGGCTTTTGGTTCTGACTTTGTAATTTCATAGGGCATCTTTTTCTCTGTTACCTCCCAATTAAATACGTGGTGTTTACGCACCCCTGCCCAACGTCTGTCTCCTCGGAACCCACCTACATGCTTGATATAACTTACTCACACTTTCAAAATAGCTTCTACATTCCGCACCTAAGCGTATATCCTCCACCATCACCATGGATGCTTCCCGTGCTTCGCAGCTTTTGGACCCCACGTCTGCCGTGGCGGCCATCACGAAACATAAAGCGGAAGCAATTAAACTGGCTCGCGAGCAAGCCGCCGCAGTCCAGGAAATGTGCCGCAGAGCTAAAACGGAGATGCCACCTTACGAATTTGAAGAGTTGATTGGTAAAGGTTCCTACGGTCGTGTTTACAAGGGACACCAACTTCCCTCGCGCCAGGTCGTTGCAATCAAAGTTATGGATGTTGACACGCTCGATTACAAGACTCTGCGAGACTTCAAAGACGATTCTATCAAGGAGTTTATCCACGAGACGAAGGTCATGAAGCAGGTCAAGGACTCGGGAGCAAAAAACATCAATGAATTGATCGAGGCTATCTCCATTCACTCGCAACTGTGGCTAGTTTGCGAGTACTGCCCTGGTGGGAGTGTCAGAACCTTGGTAAGTTGATCATTTGATTTTCTGAAGTTGTCGGAATATAATTTAATTTCCTTCTTATTGACGCATGTATAGATGCGAGCTACAGGTGATCGGCTCGATGAAAAGTTCATCATCCCCATTGCCCGCGAATTAGCTGCCGGCTTGCGTGCTATCCATAATGCTGGAATCATCCATCGAGATATCAAGGGTTCGTGCCATGTTACTTGAGACCTACCAGGATATAGGCTAAATCTAAAAACGCAGCCGCCAATATCTTGATCCACGAAGAAGGCCGGCTCGAGATCTGTGACTTTGGCGTGGCGGGTGTTCTTCAGTCGCAAATGGACAAGCGCTCTACTTGGATTGGAACGCCTCACTGGATGCCACCCGAGATGTTCTCCACCCGCGGCGAAGCACATCAATACGGCAGTGAGGTACGGTTCTCGATTATCAAAGACGTGCGCAAATCGCTGACTGTTCTAGATCGATGTATGGGCTTACGGATGCACCCTGTTCGAGTTCGCTTCGGGAAACCCCCCGAATGCCAACCTCCGCGAGCGAATGCAAATTGGAAGGCAATTGAACCGAAACGCCCCAAAACTCAAGAATGATAAATACAGCGATGAACTCAAGGACTTGGTTGCATTTGCTTTGGAGTCCGATCCGATCGCGCGCCCTGCAATGGACGATATTTTGGACCACGCATACATCGCCAACACCGAAGAGGAATATCCTACGTCTTCCCTTAGCGAGCTCGTCCGCATATACTACCAGTGGTCTCAGCGGGGAGGGCAGCGTATTTCCCTGTTCCACCCTGGGGGTGCCGCAGCTGCCGAGATGCCAGATGATGGCCCGGACGTGGAATTGGACTGGAATTTTAGCGCTACAGATGGGTTCGAAAGGAGGTTTTCCGTCATCGATCTCGACCAGCTGGCTGCCTCGTTAGCTGAAATGGAAGACAAAATCAGTCCAACAACCTCTAACGACGAAGCGGAAGCCGATGCTCTCGAACGAGTGGCGAATGAAGACATGTCCGAGGATGAAAAGGCCAATTTCGATGAGCGTGTCCGCCGAGGTGCTGAAGCCATGGAAGGCCTCTTCAACGAGGAACTTCCAGACTACAAATACGAGACGAAAAACGACTTCATCCCTATTGAGCAGAAGCAGCCCATGTCAGATCTACCTCTCCGTACAGAGACAGACAGATCCTCAGTAACATCAACCTTTATCGACATCGACATTGGATCCTTTGACTCTTCTCACTATGCTGCGGGTGCGTCGACGACCCAGCCATTCCAACTGGCCGATGCAGATACCATCAAAGCAAACCGGACCAGCGGTCGCCAACACCGTGACTCCGGCGAAGCTCGCTCCCGCTCATCGAGCGGTGGCCTAAGCAGCGATCGAGAGTCTCAGGATTTAACCTACCAACCCCAGAGCGGGCCAAGACCACCCACCATGGACTGGAAGTTCCCAAGCTTCACGCCCCAAGACACGGAGGCAGCACCCGCAGATGAGGGTCAAAACAATCCCACGCACACGGAAGGCTCCCCAAAAAATACTGAGCCGGAAGAGTTCATCCCGACAGAAAAACGGGCAACAATGGAGTGGAAATTTCCAGAAGCTCCAACTCCGGCTCCAAACCCGGCTCCGGCTCCGGCGAAACCGCCCACAACAGACGAGTCTGACCAAGCAGCAAGACGTGCGACGATGGAGTGGACTTTCCCATCAATGGGTGGCTCAGCAGACGCCGATCAAGACTCGCAGGGTAACGACGTGGCGGTAGAAGCAAACCGGTTTAGCACTCTCAAAGCACCTCTCCCCCCACTGGAGCCATCCGAAACTGCCATCCGACCCCTCAGCATCGGCGAACCCGGAGACGCCCGCCCATCCACGTCAAACTCAGCAAAATCCAGCTTTTCAGCCAGCTCAGACACAGACTACGACCCGTTCCGACTGGATCGACCTCCCAGCCTCTCAGGCGACAAATTCGCCCCAGACGACTTCCCACAACTCCTCGACTCCGCCGACCACGACGCGCAATCACGCTCATCAGTCATAGTCGAAGACGGACCCGGCCCAGACGAAGAAGACGACGTGATCGAAGAAGAAGACGAGCGCCAGCTCGACTGGCAGTCGAATACCACTGCCACCACTGCCGCCAGCGACGCAGCCGATCCGGGATCCGACTCGGAGCCGTTCCCAGCAGCTCTAATGCCCACCGACGAGGCTGCGGACCCGACTCCGCTGCCCACGGCGCGCCGCGTCCCGCACATTGTGGAGCCGGTTTATTTCCCAGACCTTGTTCCACCGGATGCGTATGCGCTCGCGGCTAATGGTCAGGAGGGAACTATGAAGGCTGAGTTGGATCGGTTACTGGAGGATTTCCTGGACGCGTTGTCGGCTACGGGTGAGGGGCTTGCTAGGACGAGGGTGAGTCCTGAAACGACCCCTAATGGGAGGTCGACGCCGGAGGGGGTGGAATGAGAATTTCTTGATTGTTTTCATCACTCAGGCTAGGGAAATAAAATAGACAACTTCAAGATAGATCTGTCCCCTAGTTGGCGGGAATGTTGACAATATGTCCCCAGTTTTTCGTTATCCATTATCAATTATCAAGTGAAAAGTGCTCTTGATTACTTTATGCTAATTGGGCCGCGCATGAGAGTACGGATGCAAAGACTGTTCAAACGTTAAACGTAGTCAATAATTGATGAAGGGGAAGATTGACCACAAGCTAGTCAGGCCAACCGAACATTTACTGAGCCTCGATTCTAGTATCAAGAGACGCCTGAGCATAAACCGCCGTTAAAGGACTGGACAGGAGTTTGGTTTCCCCGCCTGCATGATATCTAGAAATGGTGAAGGAAGCGGGATGCTTGCTCCTAGAGTAGATAGATGGATAATTCTGGTACATGATGTTGTGAGCCTAGCTTAAAACATGTTAGCTGCCATGCCAAAACGTTGACCAACGTTTTGTATAGGGCTTAACCTGACTAGCATCCCAATAAAGTATACCAAGGTGGTGTCAAAACCCGCGTGTGTCCATATACCCTAGAGCCTCTAGAAAAAAAAGGATTGATTAGAAGCTTGATGGGTTACCACAGCCGGGAAGGAAACATCTAGGCGAGAATTGGCTGGAATTTTCAAGCATAAGGAGATGTTGAGCAATGGCAGGGCTCCGCGAGAACAAAGTAAGCCAAGTGAAGATATAGTCCGAAGTGGATCAGTGCCTCGCCGTATCAACTGCCTACCAGGCATTCACAGTGCTAGTAACAATGGTCGTGACAACTCCCACAGATAACACTTATAGAAAATAATTGGCATTCCCCCTCAATTACTCAATATCCATCAACAGATAGCAGTGTATCATGAATCTGCAGTTTTGGATTGCGTAAGTAATCTGTACTATAACCAATCGATTACTCGGACCCATTAAATAATGTTAGGGCGAGCCTACAGAGGACTGCCTCGTAGTAAAAGCAGGTATGTGATAAACGAGACTGGCCGACGAACTATTGCTACCTTCATGCCACCTAGTTCGGGCACCGCGGACCCTTTGGAACGCTGGAGGAACCCTCCTCCTGAAGCCGAGCCAGCCAATTTATCGGCTATTCAAAATGCGCTTGAAAGTCAATCGATGTAGTTAGGAGGAAATCAAGGGCTACCGCCTAGCGGTTGAGTGGACGAGTTGTTCCAGACCCATCGCCGTACATCGCCGTACAGCATCCCTAGCAGCTTCATCGGCAAGTGGGAAAAGTGTCACCAGTGCATCCTCTCGTCTCTCCAACCGATCTTGCTTGTCCGCTATATCCAGTGGCAGCCAGAACCCTTCGATCAAGACATCTGGAGTTCAAAAGAAACAGTCCAGCACAAGCAGAAAGAAGCGGAGTGCTTTTAACAATCCTCTCATATTTTACTGCACGTTCTGCTGTGATAAACTTAAGAACAAATATGACTGGATGCGTCATGAGAAGTCTATCCATCTCAACCTGGAGAATTGGACGTGCGCACCGTATGGCGGTTCAGTCGTATTACCATCAACAGGTCGCGTCCATTGTGCCTATTGCAACCAGCTGGACCCAGACCCCATCCACCTTGAGCAGCACAACCATGGACCCTGTCAGAACAGATGCGGAAATTTCGGCGAAGTGACCACCTGTTTCAGCATCTGCGCCTTTTCCACCGTCTGGACACTATGCCTCTCATCCACGGATGGAAACATGTCACCGTGGACTTCTCGTCCCGCTGTGGATTCTGCGACAGCCGGATGTCCAACTGGGACGAGCAAGCCGATCATCTAACAGTCCACTTCCGCCAAGGATGTACGATGGCCCACTGGAAAAGCGATCATGAATTTCCGCCAGAGATCGCTGCGCAAGTCAAACATAGTGTACCTCCATATCTGCTCGACTTCGAATCCCGAACCCTCGTCCCTTTCTCCGCTACAAACGGTGCTGTCAATGATCATCTCTCTCAGATGCTGACCTGGGCCAGTTTTCTAAAAGCAAAAGACGAACCTCAAATGCATCCAGAATCAGAAGCTCTGGAGGTGGCACTGCAACCAGCTCCAGAGCCTCAGTTGGATTCGTATACTGAAGTACTCACGCGTCACTTAAGCCATTACGCACAACGGATGATGAGCAGCGACACAATCCCCGCAGACGAGATGTTTCAGGTAAAGGCGAGGCATCTGTTGTTTGATTCCAATTATCAGTGAAACCAGACGCTGGCCGATAATCAGGAATGGTTGGCTAGGTTTCGAGGAGAGCAGAGCGGTAGTCCTCTTAAGACGTCGGAGCAAACTTCCTTGGATCAGCAAATATAACCATCTTTTCGCACATGAATAATATGAACAAAATTTATAGACTCACTATCAGTAAAGCCGGGGTTTATCCCCCATTCCACTGAAATGCCACTTTTCCGCCTAATCCACTGGGCATGTTGAAGAAACGCAAACAGTATCCAGACCAGAGCGAATCGCAACAAAACCAAAAGCAAGCCAGCCCAGTGAAGGCCTAAGCCTGTGTACATGGGCCCGGTGCGAGCAGGGAGGCTTTGAGTGTTTGACATACTCCTATAATTATTATGTTATCAAGAGCTATCTGTCATTTTTCTATACATTTTCAAGTTATATGCGCTTTGAGTGGTGTCGCTGTCTAGCAATTGTACAGTGGGCTTGGGGTACTCTCAGCACGTCTTCAATTGAGCGCTACGTTTGCTCCAAATCCCCTCACTGTTGGATATTTCAGGCAGGTAATCTCGCTCCTGTTAGATGTGGACGTGTATGTGGACGTGTCTATACCATGATGACGCGTCGTGTCAGTAACTGCTCTCTATCAACAAACACAAAAGTCGGTCTGTTTACTTTGGCTTCATCCTCGGTTCCATCCTCTGTCAACGATGTAACATCTATTTCTCTACTATCCACTCTACAACTCCAAGAAAAATTATTACTGCATGAATTACGATGGCCCCCGTCTCCAGCAGAGCTTCTCATTTCGAAACCCTCTCACATCCCATATCAATCAAAGAATGGAGATCCATCCTCCAAGGAATCAAACTACTTTACATCCGCCGCCAATACAAACAATGCGCCACTCGCTGTTTCGAGATCCTTAACAAGACAACCGAGCCGGTGAGTATATACTTACACTCCCTCCCAACACGAACAAACGACTAACAATACACCCAACCCAGATCCACCCAGTCCACAAAACATACCTTCACTTTTACAACGCCATTTCCCACGAGGAAATGGGCCGCTGCGCCCACATCTACTCCAGCAACAAGATCTCGCTCCTCCGCTCCGCGCTGGACTTCTTCGTCGCATGCAACTCTACATTGCCAACCCCAATTACCATTCCAGCTCCCATCTCCATTCCCGCTCCAGACTACGACAGCAGCTGGTGCAGCTTGGAGTCCCCGTTCTCGGATGTATCTTTATCGTCAGAGTCGTCGGATACCCCCTCCTCCGTGGGCAGCCTCATCAGTAGCATTACGGATATCATTGACGGGTCTATTGACTGTCCGGCGGACGATCCGTTCTTGTCTGATACTGATACGTGGGGCTCACTGGGCGTTGAGACTGAGACGCCTTCTAAGATCCCGCGATATATCCTCACGCCTTCTCCGCTGAATGTGCAAAAGTCGGTGGAGAGTTGGGACTCACCATCACCTACTTCACCAACCGGCTCTTCCTCTATCAACTCAGGATCCAACATCCCACGCAAAGTTCTAGCCCAAGTGAAAGCCCCAGCAAAGCCCCAGATACCACCTCCTCTTCCGCTGAAGATTCGTCCTTCGAGGGCTGATAATGACTGCAATGTTAAGCCACAGACTACCGCACAGCGGCAGCGTGACTCACTGCAGATGACGCATGAGTTTGCCCTTCCAGCCAGAAGCAGTGCATATCTCCCAGCCTCGTCGACTTCCTCTACTGCCTCTATCCACAACTACAACGACACTATTGAATTCCTAAGCGCTCAGATAGCGACTAGCATCTCCGACGTCCACAAACTAATTGACGAGACCACCAAGGCCCAGAATGCCCGTAGAGCCTCTAAGACAACCCGGCGCTCAGCGTCCTTCTGGAGCTTCGATCCGGTCAAAGACGCCACGCAGAGCACTGTGGGATCTAGTGAAGCTGGAGGGACACCGTGGAAAGAAACGAAAGAGCAGCGCATTGCGCGATTGCGGGCGGACGGTTGGAGATCGGTAGGGTTGAGATCGTCGTCGAGGGGGTGGAAGGGCACTGAGTATTACCAGGCATTTTGTGCGTCTGTTCTGGATAAGATGTATCTCGATACGCCATTTTCCGGTTAGCTACTGGTTTTCATTGAGAGTTTGGGCGAGCGTTGCTTCTGGATGTCGGGTGTAGTAGGGTTTGGCTTGGGCTGGGACGGCTATGTATGAGTATATACTATCTCGTTTCGTTTATTGATAGCACTTCTTTTATTGTTGTTGTATTCTACATTCTGATACTAAATAATAGGCCAGCCATGAGTATAGCTACTGTCAGTAGTACATCCAATGATAATCTCACCTGATAGCAACGGCAGACCTCTGGTCACTGGCCTCAGGCTCTTCGGCGACCAACTACCTCGCTACTCGCTGTTGCACTCCTTTTCCTAGTAGGTGTGCGGCTATCTCGATGCCGCGGTATCTGTCTCTTTCGTCGCCGTACAATCTCGTAGACGCCTTGCAATGGTCTCACGTCTCCGACATTGTCCTCGATACATGTGGTTCGGAGGTTGATTGTATTCATGTCTAGTCCCACGTCGCACTGCAGCTGCCTTCCCTGCGGTTCCTCCGACTGCGAATGTGCCGAATCGAATCCGCCCCCGGGTGTTTGAAACGCACCGAGAAAGCGGCAATCTGACGCAGGCGTCATCCACCGCATTATCCCTAAATGCAATATCGGTCTCTTCTAGAATTCAGAGCAGTCGCATCAATCTCAGCTTCAAGAAGCAGACCGTTTTTTTCAGCCGGATATGGTCATCACTGCACGGAGCCCCGACGGGGTGGGACTCATACAATGACATGGCTAGTCGCAGTCCAAAACTCCGAGTGTGGAGGATCCTCTCTGTCATGAACGTCCGACTCTGCAGATGATCGCGATGGATTGTCTGACTGGGGCGAATGAAGTCGTTCCCGAGGAGGGCGACTGGGGCTGGGACGAGGTTTTCTCGAGTCGGAATTTGCTTGGAGACTGCCAGGATGATACTGATTGATTTTTTTTTCAAAAATTGGTCTTTGCGCAATAGTCAATTCAGCGGTTTTGAAGTGGAGAAATAGTGTCCTCGGTCTATGACCAATTTTCACATGCTAGGATAAATATCTGCAGCGGTTTTGACTATTGCATGATTCGACTAGTTGTGGAAACGAGTGACTAGCTCGTCTGTTTTGTATGATCTGGTGTTTTAAGGCAACCCACGGTGAACATCTGTCTTATATTTAGATTAGTATACCGTAGTACTTACTATCTTGTTTCCACCTGCACAAGGCACTACAGACAACATGATGGTGGGTCCGGATAGATCATCCTCGCTTTCTAGAAATATTAGGCATTATTGAAACACGGTAACGATGCTGCCTCGCAGGGATTATTCAAGGCAGAGAAACAGATCATTTCGCTGATCACAAGAGAGCCTGGCTGCAGCCCGAATGCACAAGGCCGCAGGGCTGGACAGAAGGATAGGCTGGATCCGCCTGGTGTCTCGCCCGTAATTTGGGCGGTCGGATCCACCCAAGTTACCACTACGAGTGTCCAGGCTCCCCTCGTGGCTGTGCTGTGCCCGCTGAGCCCGCTGTAAGAAACCAGTATCGCAGGGCCAGACTTTCTCACAATCTGGAACTCCGGTCGCGTCCCCTCTCAACCTCCGATCGCTCGATCCATCGTGAACTTCAAATGGTTGGTATATTTCCAAGTTTCGAGTCTAGTCTTTTGTAGATACTTCCTGCATCCTAATTATTCCTTGCATTGTTTGACATCTGCCTGGATATATCGATCCCGAACACGATCATTACCCGATCAGGTAGGCCAACCACCACTAAGTAAACTTAACATTGTTTACGCCCCTTATCAGTCACCCGCAAATCCGACAGGCTTCAGCTTTCCACCACTCTCTCTTTCTCTCTCTCTCTCTCTTCTTCCCCTCCTGGTGTTGTCGGATTTTCTGCTGACATCCCATCCACCGGTCTTGTCCCTCTAGATCTCAACCATCCTATCCTCCTCTCCTCCCCTACACCCTCTCCGTCCATTCTCGAATTTCTTCTTCTTCTTCTTGCCCCGCCATCCTCCCCTCCCCTCACGTGCGGGGTCTACCATCAGCTTCGAGCCCGCCGGCCTGAGCTCACCGCACACTGTGTTAGCTAGAATTTCCATTCAGGCCCTACGCTCCGGCGCTACTCCATCACTATGAGTTGTGAGTCCTCCTTGGCTTTTTCTACACCGCGCGTCGCTTTTGTCAATTGCATTTGCATTTCCTATCAAACGATGTGGATTGGTCTCTGTGAAGATCCGTCCTCTCCTTGACCTCCCCTGTCTCTTCCCTCTTTTTCCGCCCCTCCTCCCTTCTTGCTTGTTCGTGGGCGGTGCTGCCTGGTGGCTTCAGCCGCACCGCACACCAACTCAGATGTCTTTCTTGGCTCTACTTATAGCCCTTTGGGGCAATGGCGTAAGCCTCTGGGGATCTCTCGTTTCCTTTTGGTTATATGGTTTGGACTTTTTTTTCCATGACAATACTACCCTCCGCCTGCTCCTCGTTCCTGTCGTCTCTCCCGATGCGCTATCGCTCGCGTTTGTGAAATTTTTTCCATGCAGTGTGGCTTGCTGTGTGTACTGGTACTGATCGACGGTGTCCGTGCTTTAGTCTCCAATATGTTCAACAAGCTGTCGGGTCAGCCTGAGAGTTACGAGAAGAAGTACGCTTCCGCTTCATCCCCCCCCCCCTCGCGACTGTGGTCGGCTTCCCCGGATAATAACCGATGATCGTTTTCCTACAGAGCGTTGTACAAGTTCGGGCGCACTCTGGGTGCTGGCACCTATGGGATTGTCCGCGAGGCCGATTGCGCGTCCGCCGGAAAGGTCGCCGTGAAGATCATCCTGAAGAAGAACGTCCGTGGGCACGAGCAGATGGTTTACGATGAATTGAAGATGCTGCAGTCGCTCGACCATACCCACATCGTCCATTTCGTGGACTGGTTCGAGTCCAAGGTGGGTCGCGCGAGATGTGTCTACTTTTGCCAATACTCATATCGTGGCAGGACAAATTCTACATTGTTACCCAGCTGGCTACCGGAGGCGAGTTGTTCGACCGGATCTGCGAGTATGGCAAGTTCACGGAGAAAGATGCGTCGCAAACGATCCGTCAGGTTCTCGACGCGGTCAACTACCTGCACGAGCGGAATATCGTCCACCGAGGTCCGTCTCCGATCGTTTGACTTCCCCCCATGCTGAGACTGACATTTCGGTTTCGACAGACTTGAAGCCCGAAAACCTGCTTTACTTGACCCCCGATCCCGACTCCCAACTGGTTCTGGCCGACTTTGGTATCGCCAAGACGCTCGAGAGCCCGAGTGAAGTTCTGACGAGCATGGCCGGTTCGTTCGGCTACGCCGCCCCGGAGGTGATGCTCAAACAGGGCCACGGCAAGGCGGTCGATATCTGGTCGCTGGGCGTCATTACCTACACGTTGCTCTGTGGGTATTCGCCCTTCCGGTCGGAGAGTCTGACCGACTTGATCGAAGAATGCCAGTCCGGCCGGATCATCTTCCACGAGCGGTATTGGCGTGAGGTCTCCCAGGATGCCAAGGATTTCATCCTGTCCATGCTGCAACTGGATCCGACCAAGCGGGTGACATCGGAGGTCGCCCTGAAGCACCCCTGGCTCATCGGAGAATCGGCCAGCGACCGCGATCTGCTGCCCGAGATTCGCGCTTACACTGCTCGCTCTCGTCTGAAGCGCGGCATCGAAATCATCAAGCTCGCCAACCGCATCGACGCGCTCAAGATGCAAGAAGAGGAGGAAGACGACATCCCCAGCCCCGCGGATATGGCCCAGTCGGCGGAGGGGGCGGAGAAGTCCTCCGGCTCGAGTCCCTTCCCGGCATTCTCGCCCTCCAGCGGCGGTTCTGCCCCCGCGGAAGGTGGATCGGGCACGACCAAGAAGCGCAGCTTGAGCAAGATCGCCCGTGGACAGATCTTCCGCGAGGTGGTGCTCGCCAAGGTGCGTGAGGTGAAGGAGAATGAGGAGCGAGAGAAGATGGAGCGGGAGGTCCGTGAGAAGGGGGCCCACTGATTGTCGACCTTGGCGGTTGATCTGTGTTCATTTACCACTTTTTCCCTCCCCTCATGTTCAATTCCCCGTGTCCAGCGTCAGCTGGTCTTTCTTGTGAATAGTATCGTCATGATTCCCCGTTCCTATTTCCACGGCACACTTTTCTCATGTCTGCCATGATGGCTTGTTCTCGGAGTTGCCTTAACGATTGATCAATGCTTGATTTTGGACCCATGTATGTTCTTTCTCTGTAGCCAATGTACGAGCCGTCTTGTCTATTTTTCATGGGTGGTTTCACGTAATGCCTAGAGAAATGTAGTAGAGTGTAGACGTGGATGACCCGATCAGCTGAGCGATCACATGACCGATAGCCAACCGTGCCCTACCGGACCAATCAGACGACCGAACCGGAGTCGAGCAAACTCCGTTGGCACCTGAGGCAGCTGATCGGCCGTCTCCACCTCAATCCGTTTCGAGGCAGTCAGGCCGGTAAGGTACTTGGCAGGTCAGTAGGGCTCCTAGGTTTGGGAAGTATCAGGCATATCCATAGACCTCACTCATTTTTCCTCTTTCATCGTTCATACCCTACCCCTCAAACATATTCATAGGTACACACCACACCTCGTATCCATTTACACCACCCACTCCCTCCGATCCGGGTCCGTTGGCCAGGTTCTGGACTTAGTTACCTACCCGCGCCCGCCTTCATCTCTGCCCCGCGCCGGTGTCAGACGTCATACACCTATACTCCGTTGCACACGACTTCCGAAAGAATTTGTCTGGCGCCAGGGAAGTTGAGATTTCACACACAGGTCATCAGCAACTCGCTCCGAGAGCGTCCTGTTCAGTCATGTTCGCTACTAAGCGGTTGGGCAAGGTAAGTCGAGTCTACCTCACTACACCATAGTAACTGGGTTGGGCAGTGTAGCTAATGGAATGTTGTCGATCTTAGGAGCTCCTTAAGGTATATATATATATATTCTCTTATAACTCCTTAATATCCTTACTTGCGTTTTTACTCACCAGGCACCACACCCATAACCTATGTTCATTTCCTCGAAGCTTGCCATGAGTTCCGTCGGTGGGATATAGAGCTAACACTGCTGCGTTTGGATAGATGAAAGAGCACCTTCCCCCCGGGATTACAATCGCCAAGTCGGAGAACTTAGAAGAGTGGCATATGGATCTTCAAGTGCTCGATGACAATCCGCTGTATCAGGACCAAACCTACAGACTCAAGTTCACTTTTGGGTCGAAATACCCGATAGGTAAGTGCTGCTGTCTTGCTTTCGTACCTACCTTTATCCCCCTTCATCTCCCCAACCAAACCATTCGAACAAAACCCATCTCATACCCACCTCTTCATTCCAAAAATCTAACCCTCAAACAATACAGAACCCCCAGAAGTCCAATTCATCGAAAGCCCTTCCACCCCCTCCACCCCCCGCCCAATCCCCATCCACCCACACATCTACAGCAACGGAATCATCTGCCTCGACCTCCTCAGCTCCGCCGGCTGGTCCCCCGTACAAACAGTCGAAAGCGTCTGCGTCAGCATCCAAAGCATGCTAACGGCCAACACGCGCAACGAGCGACCACCCGGTGATAGCGACTTCGTCTCGTATAACCGGCGGAGACCGCGCGATATAAACTTTTTCTATGATGACGATAATGTTTGAGATATAGCACTCTGGCAGGTGTTCATGGTGTCGCGATGGATGGCGCGGCTGGGACGGGACAGATCAGACCCCGTGGACGAGGGAGGGGGGGTGGAGAGGACCAATCGTCCCAGGGTGAGGTTATACGCCGGTTGTCTTCCGGGGGACAGACAGGGAGTATTATCGAGTATTGTCGACAAGAAGTAGGAGAGAGCGTGGTCTCGTTCTTTTGGTTCGCTTCGTTGGCACCTACCCTTCCCCACTCTTCAATGCATTGGTATAGGCGCAAGTCCTTTACGGGAGTTTTCATGGCTGGGCCGATGGTGGTGTTCCTATTTATCATTATCACCATTGTTATCACCATTGTTGTCACCCTATTTTTACCCTCTTCCGTTGTGACTTATTATCTACATACCTACCTAGAATATCATGCACATGGGTTATTGAGTGTTGACTTGTCTTCGTCTTTTTATTCTTATGGAGTAGGATGGCTTTGTGGAGTTGACTGTACATAAAGATAACGTATAGAGAAGAGTATGAGCTTATTTTATATATCACCCCAATATATACTTTCCTTACACGTGATGTATAGTAGTAGTAGATGGAAATTTCGGCTACGACAAACCTTCCTGCTACCACTACTCTATATATATCCGAATCATTTGAGATAAACCCAAGAAATAAGGTGATAACCAAACGAACGTTCCCTACTAAGACATGATATTGATTTGTAGTCGCGGAATCTCATCAGTCACTATACACAGGGGTCGGGTCGGTCACAACAAGAGAGGTAAAAAAGGAGACGTAGCGTAGTAGAAGTAGTGTAGTGTAGTGTAGTAGTAGTGAATAGATCAATGACGACAGATGAAAAACGCACGCAACAAAGGGGAGGAAAAAGAAAAAAAGTAAACAGGTAAATAGTCAAAGAAAAGGTTCAACATGAACAACGCCATTAGAAGGAATTGATTGATTGGTACAGTTGGTTAGCCACACACTTGTCCTGGTTTACCCACACTCACTTGGGCCAATTGAGAAATGAATCTTTTTTTGGCCCGGATTGTCTTTTAGGTTTTCTTTTCTATGGTTGCTTTTCGGTATCCTTTTTTATGTTTGTTGCTTTGACGAATTGGCTGTGTGGGGTTCAGTTTACAGGGTGTGGTTGTTGCTGGTTGATGATCATGGCGTTACGGTTCTACCGGTCGACTTCACCGAACACAAGATCCATCGTACCTGAGGTTGTCCGGTTAGTTCGAATGCAGTAGTAGAGAGAAGGGAATGTAGCTCACCAATGATAGCAACAGCATCTGCCAAAAGATGACCACGCGAGACCTGATCGAAACCACCCAAGTGGGCGAAACCAGGGGCACGAATCTTGCAGCGGTAGGGTCTCTCAGTGCCGTCACTGACCAGGAAGACAGCCATCTCACCCTTGGGGGCTTCAATGGCGGAGTAGGTCTCTCCAGGGGGCACGGAGTAACCCTTGGTGAACAGAAGGAAGTGGTGGATCAGAGCCTCCATGTTCTCCTTCATGGCAGCGCGGGGCGGCGGGGAGATCTTGTAGTCCTCCACGCGGACAGGGCCAGCCGGCATGTCGTTCAGGCACTGGTGGATAATGCGAAGCGACTGGCGGAACTCCTCCATACGGCAGAGGTACCGGTCGTAGCAGTCACCGTTGACACCGACGGGGACGTCGAATTCGACCTTGTCGTAGGCGTCGTAGGGCTGGGACTTACGGATATCCCACGGGACACCGGAGCCACGCAGCATGACACCGGTGAAACTCATGTTCAGGGCGTCCTCGGCGTTGACGACACCAACACCCTGGGTTCTGGCCTTCCAGATCCGGTTATCCGTGAGCAGCTCCTCGGTCTCGTCGATGCGGTCACCGAATTGCGTGGCCCACTGGTAGATGTCGTCCAGGAGACCGATAGGGATATCCTGGGACACACCACCGGGGCGGACGTAGGCGGAATGGAGACGGGCACCGGACACACGCTCGTAGAACTCCTACATGAACACCCTCGGTTAATTATCTTGCCATCGACCAGTGGTTTGAATTGTAAGGTTGCACGCACCATAAGCTTCTCACGCTCCTCGAAACCCCACAGGAAGGGAGTCAGGGCACCAACATCCATCGCGTGGGACAGGACGGACATCAGGTGGTTCAGGATACGTGTGATCTCACCGAACAGCGTCCGGATGTACTTGGCGCGCTCCGGGATCTCGACGTTCAGCAGCTTCTCGACGGCCAGGGCAAAGCACTGCTCGTTCGTCATCATGGAAACGTAATCCAATCGGTCGAAGTAAGGCAGGGCCTGCATGTAGGTCTTGTATTCGATCAACTTCTCGGTACCACGATGAAGCAGACCGACGTGGGGGTCCGCGCGGACAATCTCCTCGCCATTGAGCTCCAGAATCAACCGAAGCACACCGTGAGCAGCCGGATGCTGGGGTCCGAAGTTGACCGTGTAGTGACGGATCTTCCGGTCGATCCCTTCGGCTTCGGACTCGAGGCCGGACGCCTCACCCGGCTCCTCCGAGGCCCCCTTGTTGGCGAAATGTGTGAAGCTGGGATCCGTCGGGACCAGACGGGTCGCCTGGTAGCTGGTGGGCTCGGCATGGTGACGAGGGAGGGAGGTCGCTATCGAACGGGATCTGGGAATAGCGGTGGTTCTGGTGACCGTGGAGGGGCGGAGACAGAGCCTTTTGGGCGCATTGCCCGCCAGGCGAGTGAAGGGAGCAGCCATCCGGGAGAGAGGAGAGTAGATTAAGCGGTAAAATTAAGGCTGACTGTCCTCGGGCCGGACGCAATTGAAGGGTTAGACACGCGGGCGGAAATGGGGTTGATGCGGACTGACGCTTGGAGGTTGCGCTGAGATGCAATTTGGTCGGTCACGTGAGAGGAGCCTATGGTCATCATGCCGCCTCTGGTTGGCCTTTTGGGCCGCCTGCTAAACCGCACCCAGACTAGCCCGTTCTGCTGCTGTTTCTGCCGGGACGCAGCTGCTCCCTCACCCAGTCCGCCGCTCTAGTCGGTGCAGAATAAATGGGCCCTCCCAGGATGCCTGAGGCACGACAGAAATATACTGCCGCTTTTCCCTCCAGAACTTTTTTTACATTTTTCTCCAGCTATCGCCAATCCCCTCACCGTCCCCTCCACATATCAGGTCAACACCATGGCGCCGTTAGTCCCTTCGCAGGTGGAGCTCGATCGCAGACGGGTATGTTTTTTTTCCCTGCTATTTTTCTTGTTTTTATTCTCTCCGTTGTTCTGTAGCTCCTCTAACCATGATTCCAGATCGTCGACATCAACCCTGAAACGGTCTCCAATATCCCCTCCACAGACTTCCCAGGTCACTGGCCCGGTGAGTCGCACGAGTGGTCTTTGGACAAGTTCAGAGAAGTATGTTTTCCCTTTCTTCTATTGCACTTCCCTTTCTTGGCTCTAATAGATATCCCATTGACAGGGCTTCCACGTCGATTTCCACAATAATGAGCAGTTCGAATCCTCTTTTTCCCTCGTCGGACTTGACGCTTCGATCGCCAATGCCTTCCGTCGCATTTTGATGGCTGAAGTCCCGTCCGTCGCCATTGAATATGTTTTCGTTCACAACAACACCTCGGTGATTCAGGATGAGGTCCTCGCCTCGCGATTGGGTCTGATTCCCTTCAAGGGTTCGGTTGAGGGCATCAACTGGATGCGCTGGTTCAAGAAGCCCACCGACGATGATCCCGAGAGCGGCAGCACACCCAGTGACTACAACACTATTGTGTTGCGCCTGGATATTGAGTGCACCAAGAACCCCAACGCTGCGCCCAACGAGGATGATCCCCGCAAGCTGTACAAGAACGCCCACATCTACGCCAAAGACATCACATTCCACCCCGTCGGTCGTCAGGAGCAGTTCTTCGTCGGCGAGGACGCCATCCAACCGGTCAACCCCGACATTCTCGTCGCCAAATTGCGCCCCGGTCAGAAGATCGATATGGAATTGCACTGCGTCAAGGGCATTGGCGCCGACCACGCCAAATTTTCGCCCGTCGCGACCGCCACCTACCGTCTGATGCCTGATATCCAGATCCTGCGCCCGATCATCGGCGACGACGCCAAGAAATTCGCCAAGTGCTTCCCTCACGGCGTCATCGGTCTCGAGCCTGTGACCCGGCAGGAGGCAGCGAAGAAGGGCAGCGGATACGAAGGCCACGAGGGCGAGACGAAGGCTGTTGTCCGCGACCCGTTCAACGACACCGTCAGCAGAGAGTGTCTCCGGCACGAGGAGTTCCAGGGCAAGGTGAAGCTCGGCCGCGTTCGTGACCACTTCATCTTCAACGTCGAGAGCACCGGCCAGTTCGACAGCGACACCTTGTTCCTGGAGAGCGTGAAGGTCCTGAAACTCAAGTGCGCCCGGTGGAAGCGCGGTCTGATGGACCTGACCCGGTGAACTTTTGTTTTTCGCACGAACTGCTCCGAAGCTACTTAATGCATTTGCTGGCGTTGGATTGCGTTGCTCTTTTAACGTTGTACATTTACGATAAAAAAAAAGTTGGCTAAGACTTACACTGCCAGAGTTCAATGCACGGCAGATTTATATCTCGATATAGAAAAAAAGCAGACATGACTTTCAATTGACCAGTGTCTAGTCGTAAGGAAATACTAATTAAAATCGTAATGCATTCATATCTCATTCGAGCCACAACAAGCGCATTAATTGAAAATCAACCGGTATCGGAAGTCAATGACATACGCAGGGTCACTGACAGCGATCTCCTGACCATCCTGAACGAGCTCCCGAAGCTTGCGCTTAAGATTGGGCCTGGTCTGCTCCTCCAGCTGGGGCGGGAAACGCTGGTAGAGCGTCTTCTCCTCGGTTCGCATACTAGGCTTCTTCAGCTGGGCTTCAGGGCGTTCACCCAGCGTCTCGATAAAGACCTCCAGCGTCATATCGGGGTCGACCGTCATCTTGCGGGCGAGATTCCCACAAACGGGACAGTCGGCCTTCTTCTCAGCCTCGAAGGTATAAGTGTAGACGCCGTCCTCACCGGCATACATCATGTAATTCTCGAGGTAGGGGTTGCAGGAGGTGGCGATCTTGAGTGCTTCGGAGGTGGTCGCGGCTGCGATGACAGCGTTGGTTGAGGCGATGGCGGGAATGATGTTTTTCACTACCCCCTGCGCCATTTGAAACGTGACGCCTGAGATGTTGAATTGCTTTGCTCGCTCGAGGGCGGTCTGGTAGACCCAGCCGATGTGCTCCATGTCATCGCTGTCGAAGGGCTCGTCCTTGCGCTGCTCTTGCCAGGCGATCTGGTGGGCCCATTCGATGCAGTGTTGGGGCTGGCGGGGGATGGTGGCGATGGTGCAGAGCGGGACAGCCGGTCGAGGGGCATGCATGTCGAGCTGGCACTCAATGCAAGAGGACAGGGTTGGGAGGATCACACGAGCCTGTCCCTTGAAACCTGCGTACAATTAGCATGTGTTGCATCGCTCATCAAATGGTGGTGGTGGTACCCTCGGTACCGCCATCAATGAGCGGCTTAAGACTCTCCGGGTTATCGAAATCGACCATTCCAATCAGGGTAGAGTTAATCCAGCGCCGGGCTTCGATACTGTCAAGACCGCAGACGACGAGCTTGAACTGCATGTAGTAGTCCTCGTCTTTGTCTTGGATCTTTCCCACGTAGGGTGTGATCTTGACTCCTTTGACGCGCTTCTCTACGAAAGCGGCGGCGACTTCTGCCTTGGGCTTCCCTATGTCCGCCTGGCGGAACAGGAATTGTCGGTTCAGGTTGGATATGTCGATGGTGTCTATTCGAGTTAGATAGTGTCGTGGTAACTTGTTCAGGCGACTTACCCATATCGATGACATGGATGTCTTTGAAGCCTGATAAGGCCAGGTTCTTTAGAATGTCACATCCTAGTCCACCTGCGCCTCTATTTCCATACTCGTCAGTACCCGCACGTGGCGAAGGCAGAGTTTGCTGAAGACTAACATTACACTGTATTCATGTTAGCAACTTAGTCTATAGCATCCGCGTGGAACACATACAGGACTTTGGAAGACTCCAGAGCGCTTATTGTTTCTGAACCAGGGACCCAGTCTTCGTCGCTGAACGGACCGGGTTTAGACAGAGCCTTGTACAGGTATTTCCTAAAAGCGTGTGAGAATCAACAACTACATCAAACTTACGCAAAGAGCTCACCATCGTGTAGCAGGGTCTGCAGAAGCCATTTCCTGAAGTAGACGTCGGGTTGTTGGGTAACAGAGGTGGTACTATTGACTGCGGAGCTCTGCTGTGACTGAGGTAACTGTTCAGTTCCGAGATGAATGTAGGTCCGTGCCGCTTTTACTTTAACAGAAGTACTCGTCTAAGCCATGGTATCAGCACAGGATATATACTCTTTTTCAGTCTCAGATACTGGTGTAATTCAGGAGCGATCGAGTGCAGTCTTGATTCATCCAGATCGGCCTCTGACCGCCTGAGGTAGCGGTTACTCTCCGTCGGCTATATGGTCATCTGACCCCGCGGTCAAATACAAGCGATATACGACCGGAATACATCACTTCTAAACAGGCGGCTCACTGATATGGTGTGAATTCTTTTGATGCTTGAAGCATCTTTGCTTAGTTACCTAGTCTACCAAATCATTGATCGATACAAATCAAGACATAGAGTGATATGAGCCAAACATACGCTGCCGCACGTGATTCATCGGCTCCGTTCAATTTCCCTCTCCGATAGCAAAGCTCAAGCTTTCAACTCTCATGTACATCAAACATAAAATGTACCTTCGATAATATGGACGGTCTTCTCACAGAAGTCAAGACGGCTACCAACGGCCAGCAGTCACCCCTGACGAGGGCCACGGAGACATCGCATCGCCTTGACGTGGGGACCGGCGAAATCAGCCATGCGGCGGAGCCCGACACAGATCCTACATCGTCGGAGTACATCCTAGCGACTCTGCGGGCCAAGCCAGACCAAACCGATCTTTCCGCGGTTCTTACCACCATAGACCCGTCGAATCAAAGATCGACACCGAAAAATTTCGACATCAGGCTCCCCAGTCCAACAACAGCCCAGATTCTCAATGTCTTAGTCAGCACCACGATTCCTGATCACTGGGAAGCTCTTAACGGGGCATCCAAAGGATTGAAGAGCAAAGATGCCAAGCTGCGAGCGGCAGTGTTGAGATGTCTGAGCAGTGTTGCTGGTATCAGCGGCTTAGTGACCAGCCTCCGTTCGCTCATAGCTGCCTGTCGCGCGTCATCCCAGCGAGCAGGCGGATCAGCCTCCCAGCTCCAGATCCAGGTCATCCTGAGCGTTTTGTCCGCGCTATTTGAGCCAAAGGACTTTGTAATGCGATTGTATACGGATATTGAAACTCTCTATGATAGTCCAACTCGAAAGCAAGTAGTCTGGCGGGAGCTACTCTCTTTGCTTGCTGCTGGTCGAGTGCTCTCGATAGCGGCGGAGGCGCTCACCTTGGTTGAGGACAGTCCCGATCTTAAGAAGATCTCCTGGATTGGGACAGGATCTCGCTATGCTTCGTGGCTAGGGGCCAATATCTGTTACATGGCTTCGAAGACTGATGTTGCTAGCGAGGACGCGTGGAAGGCTATGGCCTCTTTGGCTGGACGGGCTCTGAGCCTGGGCTACACTGGTAAGAAATTGCTCCGGATCAGCGTAATATAAGTGCTAAATCTTATTCTAGATCACGTAGTGGACGAAATATACTCGGGGCTTCTTTTAGAGCACGATCTCCCGGCGCAGTATGGATCGCTTTTCGGCCATCTTCGGACCACAGAACAAACCGCAGTCTTGGAAGCTACTTTT